TCTTAATGTTTGTATGTAATTTGACCACTAGAGAAGGTCTCCTGAGAGCTGTTCCCAGTGCCAGCATTCCTGGGAACTTAAGATGATTTCTGGGAGGATACCATGCAGAGAAGAGGAGTTTTCCCAGGTGTTCAGGGCCTTTACCTACCTGTGCTGTGGCTAAGGCTCTGTGTCTCCATCACTGTCTTCTGGAAGCTGAACACCTGTAAAACCTGAATGGGTCACTCCCTCTTCAAATGGCAGAACCACTCCATGCCTAGAACAGCAGTCTTCTCCCAAACACTTGCTTGTTACACAGCTTGGGGTTTATTTGTCTTTTCCACAGCTCCATCAAGTACTTTTCAGAGAAATGCTGTGGGAAATTATTTTATAGTAATACAGTGGCAACCATATACCTGACATTTCTGGCATCTCCTTTGGGTACATGTCTCATGCCTGCTTGTTCACTGAGCACCATCTTCCCCTCCATGCCTAACCTTCACCCTTAATAGACAAAGAAACAAGCATGGAGGAGAAGATGGTGCTCAGGAAGGCAGTGCTGGTGGGGGTGGCCCATCCTCCATCCACTCTGCCTGTGTCGTGGCAGACCCACCCCATGCTTTTTTTTTGGTTAGTTTATGCTATCCCAAGTCCCCTAAGGGATGGCCTATTCCAGGTATAGGTCCTGAACCCTGGACTTACATTAGCAGATAAAGTCTGCTGCTGTAGATGGCTGAGTCAGATGTGAGCACAGGCCTGATTGTTAGCCCTTTCTTCTTGGTGGACTAACCCAAGAAGTTAGTGGGGGTCTGATTAGATTGTTGGCATTCTTGGCTATCTTAGTAGCACAACTCCAGTTCTAGGGGTAGTATTGATGGGCCATCTCTCCTGTCTTCCTCCTGGAAGGCATTCTTCCATTGCTTTGAATCTGACCTTCTCTTCCTTTGAATACAAATTTTGTCTGTTGCAGGGTATGTGTGTGCATGTGCATATATGTGCGTGTTCTGTCTCTTTTTAAAGCAAATTCAGTTGTCTACTGATTTTCTTCTGGTTCTTGACCCTAAGCAGTCTTCAGATAAGGTCTAACACACATTCACACTCCACTTTACAGCACTATACCGAGTCTAACTCTTCTCCTCCCATGGGTAGCTATGTGTTTAGACCATAATGGCTAGGCAAAACAATTTTGACTCAATATCAACCCTGTTTAAAATGTTCTTGCTAACTCATGGACCAGAATCTATGTCTGAAATAGGCCATCCCATGAAGGAGAGATTTGAGCTAGCATAAACTAGTCTAAGAGACAGCATAGGGTGGGTCTGCCAAGAACACAGGCAGTATGCAGGGAGCACCATCCCACTAGCACTGGGTGCCCCTTGGCTACTGCTTGAGTTGTCAGAAGGTCTCTCGCCCTTTTGGCCTCAGGATTAAACCTTATTGTCTTTGCTTAAGTGGTATGGATAATGAGGTGTAGTGTCTTTTGTTTTTTCCTGACCCTTTACTTCTTGTTGCTTACCCATCCACGTTTCTCATGGTCTGCGCTGTGAGTAGCTTTTGCCTGCTTTCCCTGCAGAGTGACCCCTGCATGGTAGGGGGCGAGGGTCTCTTAAAGAGTAGGTCCACACGGTCTCTTCACAAATGAGCTTCTTCTTCATGTGGTCTTCTTCCCTCTTTTCCACTAAATTTGCCTTGCTCATAGCCCCTACCTAGAGCTGAGGCTTCTTGATGCTTTTCTCTGAACTTACTCATTCATCATACCACACCCTACAGCTTCTTCCATGGTTAGCAGCTGCACTGGCCTGGTCTCATCTTCTCCAGTGAGATTTATTGTCAACTGTTCAGGTCAGGGATTTCATCCAGGTACTTCTAAGTCACTGTCTTGCAAAGTGTTTTTGGTTTGTTTGTTTTTAATGACCCACACTTAGGTAGTTTGAATGTCTGCACAGATAGGCGTAGAATAGAGACATGTTTTTAATAGGTGTACTTTTTAATTGTTTTATTTTTAACTTTCAAATTACATTTATTTATTTTCTGTCTATATATCTATTCTATATATCTATACTATAGATATAGATATGTTTATGCATGTTTGCCATATTGTACATGTGGGAGTCAGGGGATAGCTTGTGGGAATGGGTTCTTTCTTTCAACCATGTGGGTTCTAGGGATTGAACCTGCTGAGCCTCTTGGCTCTTACTGTTTTAAGTCTTTCATGGCCAATTAAACTGACTTACAGTAGGACTTTGAAGAATACTGTCCTAAATTCCTTTCTGCTGGGTGGGTGAGGCCACAGTTGATTGTATAAGCAGTTTGTTTTACTCATTGGTCTGCAGGACTTTTGATAAACCCAGTGGTGCAGAGAAGTGTTACTTGACTTAAGGTAAAAAACTCCCTAACTTGGTTCCATGCAGGAAAAACTTTGGGGTGACAAGTTAGATGGACATAGACTGTACAGATTTTGCTTGGCATGCAGAAAGATCTCAGTCCATCAGAGAGCAGGCAGCCATCACAGTATGCTATCCTGTGTAACTCTCACAGTGGCCTTACCGGTCGCTTCTGTTTATAATGAGGTAGTGGATGCATGAGGTCGTCCAGGCTTGCCTAAGGTCATGGGCAGGACTTAGATGTTGGTCTTCTAAACCTTTACTTCTGTTGCATTGTGTATGGCGCTAGTGTTGATGAGTCAGTAGTGAGTGCTTTTTCTCAGGCCTTAGAGTGAATACCGTCTTCTTGTATCTGGAGCTGGTTTGTCTGGTTGTATAGAGAGCCTACTGTGGACATCTCTAGGTGGCTGTAGGAGAACAACTGGGTCTCGGGCAGGACTTGTGACCATTCCCAGTGCTGTTCCATTTGTATTTGCAAGTACCATTTGGGTTTTGAAAAGGTTCTACCTGGGATTTCAAGTTTGGGCAGGCCAGGCTCTATCATTTTACTCATGCATCACTGTGTGATGAAGCATACTCTTTGACCCCATTTGGCACTAACTGACTCAGGATTATAGGTTTCTTTCAGGGTTGAAAGCTTCGTTGAGGCTGAATGCAACGAGATTGCTTCCAATGGAGTCCTACTTATGAGCAGCTTACATGGTTGGTGAGGAAACGAACCCAGTGCTAAGAGTCTGATCAATTTCCCCATTCTCTACAAAGCAAATCTGTGATATCAGTGGGCCTCCACATATCCATTAGGATTGGGGTGGTGGTGGTAGTGGTGACACCTTTAGCCTCTGAGGATTGGTGTACAGATTAAATCAACTCTGCTTGTGAGGTCCCTGGGAAGTGCTTGCTGCATTAGCCTGATCAGCTGCCACTGCCCAGTGTTGTTACTCAAATTAGTAAGAAGTGCTTGTTGACAAAACCTGGTGTTCCAGCCTTGAATTAAGGCATTCCCTTTCTGTTGCTTCTGTATTTGGCTTGCAAACTTTGCTGGACTCCTTGATTGGTTGAGAGCTGCAGTATTTTCCCTTGCATTATGGAGTCATTTCAGGTCTGAGGGAAAATTTAATGGTGCATGCAATCCTATTCCTGGGTTGCAGGGGCTGTGCTGACTGCATGGCCATCTCCCTGCTGTTGGCAGCAGCCTGCTGTGATAGTGCTCATGTCCATTTGGTAGCTGTGGGAGCCATGCTTGAGAATTCTAAGAACATGCTTTGCCTGAGTCTTAGTGACTGGTTAGTGGATCTGTGTTTTGTTTCAAGTTCCACTCTAGTTTCAGAAGCCTCCCTAACCCATGTTTTCTCTCCCAAACTACATATTTGTTTGGGTATAGTCACAAAAGAGGTCTGGCCTCCTTAGGGTGGCAGTACAGAGAGATCTGCAGCTCCAGCCCTGAACTTTGAACTTGCATCACTTTGTCTGTAAGGTGGGGTGATAGAGCCACAGCAAATGGAAAGGAGATTCTGGGGTGTCTCACTTTTGGTGTGAGATTACTGGCCTTAGCGTAAATTGTGCTAGACCAGGCTCAGTGCATCCAGTGGGGTTATTGTTACTAATTCTTGCCGGATTGTTACATGCCTTAGAATCACTGTCAGCACACAGCTTTGGGTATATTTCATATTGACCTGAAGATATTGACATCTACTTACTGGATTTGGAACATCTTGCTACTGGTACTGAGCTGTCACCACCCAGCCTTGTACAGGATCTGAAGCCAGTATCAATCTCTCAGCTCTAACAGATAGGTAACTAGAAGGGATTTCCCCCTTCAAAGGGACCATTTCAGGGTAAGTAGGGTAGGATCCTAACTCTACACACTCCAGTGTAAGAAGCTGTTGCAGTTTTTAGAAGCCTTAGTTGACTTTTCTGGGTGAGAGAATAATATTCTAGCTTGTGCCAATAAATCCTCTTCACAGGATACTGTGGCTCATCATCCAGAATGGCACGAATTTATCAGAGTTCCACACTTGCTTTCTTTCAAGCCAGATAGTCTCCCTTAGGGATGCCCCTCACCTGTGTTAGACAATCAGAAAATAATGTTTTGATTTTACAGGGATCCCAAATCTCACATTATTCTAGAAGCTGACTCTCCTGAACCCTCCTACTGGGTGTTTCGATTGTGGGTCACTATGTGTGACTAAGCTTTTGTGGCTTCAGTCTGTGGATCAAATTAGCGACTCTGAATATGGAGGTCACTTTTAGATTTCCAGGGCAAGGTAGTATTATTGACAGAACAATGTGCAGTGATGGCATGGCAGTGGCCATTACAATAGCCATTCATCTCTTAACCAGAAGTACAAAAGACTTGCCACTACATGGGAATCCTGGTTAAGGGGCTACAGACCCTTGTAACTCCATAGCCATCACAAGGGAAGTATGCAGACCTGTCCTAAGGCATTACCATAGCAGGGAGCTCTTGGACTCCTTCAGCCTGTAGCTTTCCTTCTGAACAACAAGGAAGACTTGGAATGCATCCTTACAATGAATTCATTTACAAGCAGTTCCTTTTTTTTTTTTTTTTTTTTTTTTTTCCTTTTTGGTAATATGAAACTGGCTGGGCTTAGAGTCACCTTGGTGTTTTTGTCTTAGGAATATGAAGACAAGGCTGGAAGACCAAGCAGGCCACCCTCTCCAAAGCAGAATGTGAGGAAGAACCTGGATTTTGAGCCGTTGTCCACCACGGCACTGATCCTTGAGGACAGACCCGCGTGAGTCTGAGGAAAAGCCTCTGTGCTGTCTGCTGTTGGGATAAGGCTAGCTTGCCACTCCTTTTCCAAAGGCAGGAGAGGGGAGAAGAGTGGCTGGGTCTCTTCTTAACTCCATGTCAGCCTTCACTCAATGTGACATGAAATGGTGATTTGGGAAACTGTTCTGTGAAATTTAACCAGGATTTTTCTTTCAGGCAGTATTTGCCTTAGTTTATCATTCAGGTTCTCATTATGTAGCTGTTGTAAGTGCTAGGCCAATTTGGGAGTTCAAGAAACCCTACAAGTATGCTCCAGAGTGGTGCTGTAAAGGTACCTTTGTTTGCAGGACACCTCCTAGAGTGGCCTGTGCAGTCTCTTTGGTGGTTCAGGTCAGGATTTCTCTCTCTCTGAACCTTGGTATCCCTGCTGTGTGATGAGGAGATCATGCTTAGAGGCCTTCCTGGAGTAGGGAGTCATAGCTAAACTAGTTACTGAATTTACACAAAACAGTGTGTTGGGGAGAAGGTTTCCCCAACCTAAGGAAGAGCAAGAACAACAAGAGGCTAGCTGTCTAGTCAATTCCAGGATCCTGTCCATCTCTGATATTTAAAATTGTGAGGTCAGACCAGCGGGACAGTCAATGCGTAAAGAAAGACGCTGCCAAGCCTGATGAGTTTGGTTCCTAGCACTTATATGGTGGAAAGAGACAGCTGATTTTTGCAAGTTATTCTCTCATCCCCCCCATACACAGAGTGGGGGGGGGGTTAAGGGAGGAAAGAGGAAGAAGAGAAATGTAATTTAAAAAATTAAACTGTGAAGTCTAATGAGAAGTATATCTGCTGTTAGTTCCTGGTTCTTGGAGACAGGAGTGGGGGAAATCCTGAGAAGGAGGTTGGGACTTTAGTGTGCTGAGAGCTAGACTGGGGCTTGCCACCTTTAGCCAGCAGCAGTGGGGTTGCAGTCTCACAGAGAACTTAGATGGTTGATGTACTTGTGAGATGTAGGCCAGGTGCCACCACATCTCATTAAGTCAGCTGCCAGAGTCCAGAGGCATTTTCCACCGGATATGGATAGCTTCTCTGTGCATTTGTATGGAACAGAGCAAAGGAGCTACAGAACTACACAAGTTCTTGCTCTCATTGCTGTGGCAAAAGAAGCTCAAGGGTTCAAGGGTTTATCTTGTCTCGTGCTTTGAGGGTATAGTCCATTATAGTTGAGAGAGCATGGTGGTAGGCATGTGAGGTGCTGATGACATTGCATCAGCAGTCAGGAAGCAGAGATAATGCTGGTGCTCAGATTGCTTCCTCCTAGCTTTTGGAAAGGTGTCACCCACATTCCTTCTTTAAACCAGTCTGGAAATACCCTCACAGATACACCCAGAGGAATGTTTCTTAAGGGGTTGTACCAGACAGTGTGATTAACTATCACAAGAGCTGATCTGAAACTGAGCACTTAAATTGGCATATAATATATGCTGTGAGGTCATCCTGATGCAAGGGCCAGCTGTCGACACTTACTGCTTTGCAGTCAAATCCGAGTTTTTGGAGAATAGGGTGACTTCTTTATCAACATCTTTATAGCCCAGGATTTCACAGTGAGTATTTTGCTTTGTAAGAATTATCTTTGTAGGGAGATAGCTTGGTGGTGGAGCCCTTGGCTACTGTGTGTAAAGCCCCAACTGAGCAATGTAGCGTATACCTGTAGTCCCAGCACTTGGGAGGCTAAATTAGTAGGGTCTCCTGGGCTATGTAAAACTGTCTCAACAAAACAAATATAGTTTTAGTTTATGAAAGAACTGTAGTTTTAAATAATTGATTTTTTTTTTACTTTGGGTTTTACAACTTTTTGCAATAGTGCTTCAGGGATTTTTTTCTCTCTCAGACTTTTATCTAGTTGTAACATGCAAACCTATTTATTTCCTGTCAAGAAATCTCCCAGCAAAACCAGCTGAAGAAGCCCAAAAGCATAGACAGCAATATGAAGAGATGGTGGTGCAGGCCAAGAAACGAGGTACTGTGAAAGCGAGTCAAATTCTGTGGTGTGGGTGTTTTCTTCTTATCTTTTGGAGCTCTTTAACTTTATCCTTGATGAAGGTTTTCATACTTTGACATGTATAGTTTTTCCATTAAACAAACAAATAAGAATGCTTCTCTCCATTCCTGGCAGCATAATAGTCCCAAATGAGAATAGGGTGTGGTAACCCAGCGCTTGGGAAGTTAGATGGACTCTTGAGTTTAAAGCCAGTCTTTGACTAGACCCTGTCACAAAGAACATGTAGACTTACCTGAGAAAAGATAGTATAGGATAAGAAGTGTGTGCTGGAAAGAATTGGCACCAATAGTGACATGCAGCTGTTTTTCTCTCCTTGGACTGTTGTTTTCACAAGATGTAAGTGGATTTGATAAGTTCCTTTGCAACACACTTAATGTCTTAGATAGGGTTTCTATTGCTATGAAGTTACCATGACCAGAATGACTTTATAAAGGAAAACATTTAATTGAGGCTGGCTTACAGTTTCAGAGGTTTTGTACATTATCATGGTGGAGAGCATGGTGGCATGCAGACAGACATGGTACTGAAGAAGGAGCTGAGAGTTCTACATATTGATCCACAGGTAACAGGAAGTGAACTGAGACACACTTCCTCCAACAAGACCATACCTTTTAGTGGTGCTACTCCCTATGAGCCTATGGGGCCAATTACATTCAAACTACCACACCTAAAAAGCTAGAGTACTATGACTCTAGAGTGTTTGTTTTGTTTTTTGTTTTTCAAGACAGGGTTTCTCTATAAGCCTTGGTGTTCCTGGAACTCTTTTTGTAGGACTTTAGAGTATTTAAAGTACATATGATAAACAAATGGAATATCATTCACCCTTTAGAAGGAAATTCTGACACATTACAAAATGATTGAATTTGATTGATCCAAAGTGAAACAAACCAGGAACCAAATGACAAATACTATGATTCCATTTCTTTGGGGTTCCAAGAGGCAGTGTATTGAGATCCTTTTAAGTAGAAGGGGATCTACCCAGGGAGGGACAAACAGAGAATTAGTGGTTAATGAAGACAAGTTTGATCACAGAGAAGATGAGAAGCTCCTAGATATGATAGTGATGGGAGTGCATCATGGTATGAATAAATGTTATGAAATTATATAGTTAAGTTGATTAAAATAGTAAATTATATGTTATGTCTCTCTATCATAAAAAGCTAACTGTCCTCAAGTATCCATGAGTGAGTGGGTTCTACAACCTCTTGCTGTTGCCTGGATCTAAGTTGCTCAAGGCTTGTTTATAAAATGGCATGTACTGTGTACCTATAAACTTTATAAGTACATCTTCTTGTATCCTTCAGGTCATCTGTAGATTTCCCACAGTAGTTGTATGCTATGTAGATATTTATCAGAGGATTATTCAGGGAATATGTTAGGAAATCAGTCTGCACATGTTTGATACAGCCGCTGTTTGATTAGATTAGTCTGAGGCTGGTGAACCCATGGATGTAGAAGTTACCACGGAGTAAATTAAGGAAATTGTATATATGGTCTTCCTCAGAACTGCTGCTGGTAAATCAAGAGTAAATGCCAGGGGCTGGAGCCGTGGCTCAGTGGTTGAGAGCACTTGTTGCTCTTGTAAAGGACCCAAGCTGAGTTCCCAGCACACATATGGTGACTCACAACCATCTGTAATTCCAGTTTCAGGGGTTTGATGCCCTCTTTAGACCTCTGAGGGTGCCAGGCATATACATGATATACATACGTACATGAGGCAAAACACCCATATATATAAAATAATAATAATATAATAAAAAGAACACTGCACAAGCTGTTAAGAGTAAGCTTAGGGGTCACATTCAGAAAGACTGGGTTGGGGACCATGATTGTTCTTGTCATACATTCTGTTGTTTGATTGGATGGTTCCCTAGACTTGTATATTTTGTGTTCATTGAATTCTATTTGGATAATGTACTTTTCTAGAAGAATAAATTATACTCAATGTATTTATTGAAGGATAGATAGCATTAAGTGGTGTATATAGTCTATGGGGAGAAGGGTATGGTAGAGTATACTTATAATCTCAGCAAATCTGGAGTAAGAGGAAAATGATGGGTCAACCTGGGCTACATATCAAGACCCTGAGTTCAAAAATAAACCCATAGAATATGAATTGAGTATCAAGAGCAGACATTTGCTGTTTGCCCACACCCCCATCTGTGATCTGTGTGAGTGTGTTGTGTGTGTGCGTGTGTAAGTGCAGCACACGTGTGTTCACATAGTGGCCAGAGGAGGCCATCAAGTGTCCTATCACTGTCCATCTTATTCTTTGAGTCAAGATCTCTTGCTGAACTTGAAGCTTGCTAGACTAGTAGCCAACAAGCCCTACCAATCATCTTGTGTCCATGTTTTCCTCAGTGCTGGGGTAACAGGCATGCATAGGACCATACTTAGCTTTTCTATGGGTGTAGAGATCTGAATCCCAGCCTCATGCTTTTGCAGCCAACACTTAACCACAGAGCCATATCTCCAATTCCTCCACATGGAGTTTACTTTCTTTGTGGCAAAAGTAAGCCATTGTGCAAGAAAGTTCTCTTGCCTCAACTGCTGACCGTATGCTGTCCAAATTGAACAAGCAGGACACAAGAGAGAGTGCCAAACCTTCAAAAATCTGCTTCATAGAAAAGTCTGTCAAATATTCTAGGCCTTTAGGCCAAAGATGGAACTTGGGTGACTGTCCAGGTAGCCAGTTGTTCTCATCATTTTTCACATTTTTTTGGAAGTTGCTTGCTCACACTTCCCATTACTCAGTTAATATTATTTCCTTCTCAGGTCCCCGAGGGAGTTGAAGACTAGATATAGTTATAGTTTCCTTGTTTACTAGACTCAGAAAAGAAACTCAATAAAGAGGTGTCATGTGTAAAAGGTTGAGAGATATCAAAAGATAATTTGATAATGCAAATTAGTATATAAAGTGAATTAATTACAACACTTTGGACGCATTAAGATAGAATAGATAATGGAGTATTTTCAAATGCAAATGGACTAGACATTGTTGATGTATTTATTGCATGTATATATTGTATGTAGTTATTGTTCTTATTATATATAGTTTTTCTTATATGAGTTATATAGACATGTGTTGATATTTTATGATCTACCAAATAAAGCTTGCCTGAAGATCAGAGTGCAAAGCTAGCCACATTAGTTCGCCATAGTGGGCAGGCAGTGGTGGCACATATCTTTAATCCCAGCACTTGGGAGACAAAGGCAGACAGTTCTCTGTTAGTTCAAGACTACCCTGGGATGCATGAAAGTGATCCAGTCTAAAAGAGAAACAGTTCACACAAAGGTGATCCGAGCACTTAGAGTGACATGCTTTAATCCCAGGACTAAGGAGGTGGAGAGAGGAAGGTATATGTCTGGGTGGAGAGAGGAATATAAGGGGGTAGGAGACTGGAACTCAGGGCAGTCTAGGCAGAAGGCAGTCTGAGGAGCAGTTCAGTCTGAGGAACAGTGCAGTCTAGGCAGTCTGAAGGATCACCCCTTTGGTCTGAGCATTGGTAGAGGTAAGAACTCTCTAGTGGCTACCTGCTTTGCCTCTCTGATCTTCAGCATTAATCCCAAAATCTGACTCTTGAGTTTTTATTATTAAGAACAATTAGACTGGATGGTGGCAGTACATGCATTTAGTTCCAGTACTCGGGAAGCAGAGGCAGGTGGATCTCTGTGAATTCAGGACCAGCCTGGTTTACAAAGTGAGTTGCAGGACAGCCAGGGCTACAAAGAGAAACCCTGTTTTGAAAAACCACACACACACACACACACACACACACACACACACACACACACACACACACACACACAAAGCAAAAAAACAACTAGAATTTGTGCTACATCTTCACTGCTATTTTTCTGATGTTTTTGCACCGTGATTCTTTGTGAAGAATCACAGAACTTGTAAGTGGTGAGTACTGGCTATTCATTGTTTTTCTTCTTTATTTTAATTATGATTTATAGAGCTTAAAGAAGCCCAGAGACGGAAGAAGCAGCTGGAGGAAAGGTGCAAAGTTGAAGAAAGCATAGGAAATGCTGTTCTCACCTGGAATAATGAGATCTTGCCTAACTGGGAAACCATGTAAGCATTGTCTCACTGATGCTGTTGAGTGTGGCCACTCCTTTCTTGAGTCTGTGGGCAGCAACTGTAGTTGAATGAACACATTGTGAAGCCTTTGATAAAATCAGCTTTTGTCTTGGTGCAGTCCTGTTGTTCCTTGCTGAACATGGTGACAGCATCTTCCAGTTTATCTTTTGAGAACCTGAGTCATGCTTGCAAAGCTTATGCCTGTGTCACTCCATACTTAAAATTTGGTAACTTTTTGTGAGTCTCCATATGAAATTTGAACTAACTGTGTACCTAAGTGGACAGCCTTCTGTGTGAGATGACCTGCCCTGCCTCTGCAAACTTCCCTGGTACTACACCAACAGGAATTGCTAACCTATAACATCTGGAGCTTTGTCTGCCCTTTCCCTGTCTACAGTGTCCTGGACCTCTATGTCTTTCTCAATTCTGTTTTTTCTCTAGCTCAATCTTCCCAGGGAATTTACTCCTTCCCCCAACACCCCTCCCCCAACTCCCTGTAGAAATTCCTTTGAGTCTCCTGGAACAGTCTCCTTGAGCATCTGTCTCTGTCTGAGGGTAGAAACCACTTATCTTTGATGTCATCCTGCAGTGTCAGTACAGAGTTGCACCCCACAGTGTCTGGCAGCTGTGGAATCCTCACTTCTGAGGGTCTGTTGTACATCTCATTTATTCCTGTGTGGCCAGCACAGGCAGGATCATCGTGACTTACTGACTTGAATGACTGTGTTGTTCAGAAGTTCACAGTTAGCATCCTGTCTACAGTAGTGTGTGACTGTCACCTGGTTCTGGGCTGCCCTATGAGGCTCCTTGGAGCCTCCTTCCCTCTACACTTGTGTAGGAGAGAGCTGACAACATGCCTCCCCTATGCCCAACATGCTTCCCCAATGCCTGCACTCATCTGTTCACAGCTCTTTACAGTCCTGTAGGTGATCCCTCTGTTTCCTGTCCGTGTTTTCTGCTCAGAACGTCCTTTCAATCCTTCATATGTGCAGACTTCTACCAGTCACTCTCAACCTGGTTCTGGAAGGTTTCTTGGCTCTTTGTTCTGTGACATTCCCTTCACAGTGCCTGGTTGTCTGGTTTTCAGTAGACCCAGAAGGGTGAGCTCCCAAGGGAAGGGACAAGTGGGTGAGGCTCGTGTGCAATAAGCCATTCTCATCTTATCTCATCTTTCTCAGAGAGCAAACTCAGAAACTCGTGCTTCCATTCTGTTCAGGTGGTGCTCTAAGAAGGTTCGAGACTTGTGGTGGCAGGGAATTCCTCCGAGTGTGAGAGGCAAAGTATGGAGCTTGGCCATTGGCAACGAGTTGAATATCACCCACGGTGAGTGGCTTGCATGATCCTAGATGTTAAGGATAGTCCTGGGGTTCTGGGACTCCCTTGTGTCACTTTTGCCATGTTAGAGGGGTGGTAACCACTGCCATGAAGCCATGGTGAATATGTCTTTTCTGAGAAGGTCTCTGGGTAGTGGGTTCAATACTGGCTGCTCCCCTTTCTGGAGAGGTCAAAGCAGGTTTCTTAAAGAAGAGGACAGCAGACACAGGGCTCCAATTCTCAGTTGGAGTTGGGTAGACAGAATCTCTTCTCGGAGTCAGACAGGACATTAGAGGTGGTTAGGTACTTAGGGTACCCTTTGGTGGTTTTGTTATTGTTTGCTTGCTTGTTTTGTTTTTGTTTTTTTTTTTTTTTTAGCCCTAGAGAAGCTAGGGCTGGTATCATTAGGACATTAAGCTAATACGGGAGGGAGGGAGGGAGGGGAAAGAGGGAGGGAGGGAGGGAAGGAGGGGAGACCCTTCCTTGAAGTTTTTAAGTTGTTTATCATGTTTCTCAAGTACTTAGCTCTATAGGAGAGTGGTTGACTAGCATATGCAAAGCCCTGGGTTCGATCTCTAGTACTGGAATTTTGAGAAAAAAACATGTGGGCATGGTGGTATACACCTTCACTTGAGAGGCTGAGACTTAAGGGGTGTTGGGAGATTTAGGACAGTTTGTCGAGTGCTTAGCTTGTGTGTGCTCTGCCACACCAGCCTCAGTTCACTTCTGTCTCTAGTGCCCTGTTGGGTTCTGGATGTCAGAGTCCTAGGAGCACACAGATGAAACTGAAGCCTTGATACAGGGGAGTCCCATTTCCTTCCGTTGAAAGTAAGCTGCTCTGGCAGGCAGGCCTTCCTTCTTCCTGTTATGTCCCCGTGCCTACCTACACATTGAAATCAAGTTGCTTTTCCTCTGGTAGAGGCTTAAGTTTAAGGCAGATTGCTTCTGCCTCACCCCTCTAGTTAGGTTATTGTGCTCATCTTGACAATGTAGCTTCTCCCATGACTGTATGTAGCTGTCAGTTAGGTGATGATGACTGATTTCCTTCAAGAAGGATGGCAGTGCAGGAAACCTTCTTCTCCAAACTGTAACATGAATAATAAAAACCCAGAGACAGATATTGGGGTTCAAGCGGAGGATCAGAAAAGGAAAGCAGCCAGGCACTAGCTCTAACCTCTACCTTAGACCAAAATGGGTGATGCTGTCTCCATGAATTTTCAGAGTGCAATCCAGACTACTCTACTCTCCACCAAGTCTCAGACTGCAATCCTCTGAGCTTCTGTCTCCTCCCACCTTATAGTCCTCTCTCTGCCCAGACATATTACTCCTGTCTCCGCCTCCCTAGTGCTGGAATTAAAGTTGTGTGATCCCAAGTGCTGAAATCACCTTTGTGTGAGTTGTTTCTCTTTTAGACGGAATCAGTTGTGTGTAGCTCAGTATAGCCTTGAACTAACAGAGATCCATCTGCCTCTGTCTTCCGAGTCCTAGGATTAAAGGTATACACCACCACCCCTGGCCTCTATGGCTAGCTAGTATGGCTGCTAGTGTTAAAGGTGTGTATCACCACTACCTGACTCTATGACTATGGCTAGCTTTGCACTTTGATCTCCAGTGCCTTTATTGAATCATAAATAATAAAACACCACATCAAACTCCTTTTCTGGCTAAATCTGTTCCTGCAAAAATGTTCACTGTAAGATCTTTATTTGAGAAGATGTGTAATATGTGATTTGAAGTAGATCTTAGCCTCTCAGAAGAAGAGGTGAGAAGTTGCTGAGCATACAAAGATCTGTGTGCTTGAGTCTTCTAAACTCTACCAACATTTTCTGTATGGCTAATTGAATACAACATGTAGTGTTTGCATATTTAATTTTTGACTCTCCCTTATGCTTGGGTTTAATTTACTTAAAGTAAAACCTGTGATGGACTAGATGACAGATGGTGCTAAGCAGCTTCCTAATTGTGTATACATCTTGCCCATTTACCTGTGCCTTGGTACTAGCTCACTCTGTCATATAGTGTATGTCTTTCTGCAGTGAATGCGACATCATGTCCATTGTCCCCACTATAGTGACCTTACTGCACTGTTATCTACTCTGTCATTTGTGCCCAGCCTAATCTTCTTCACATGGCAGGCCCCTGTAATGAGCATTCTTCCCGCCAGCCTGGTCCCAGAGCCACATCAGTCCCAAATGAACATGCAGGACACTCTATTAATTATGAAGCTGTTGGCCGTTTGCTGTGGTTTCTTGTTGGCTAGCTCTGACTTAATTATTAACCCATAACTGCTAATCTGAGTATTTTCACATGGTCTTCTCTTACCGGAGAAAGGGTCTGGACCTCTTACTCCTCTCTCTTCCTACGTGGTGACTGACTGTGCCCATTTCCCAGAATCCTCCACCTCTCCTAGTCCCACCTATCTTGCTTTCCTATTTGCCAACTGTGCTTTATTCATCAACCAATAAGACAAACATATACACAGAAGACCATTTCCCATCATCTTCTCTTGGCCTATGGGCTGAAGATGGATGCCCCTGTCCAGATAGCGAGATGTCTCTGTCGATTCTAGTGTTTGTGTATTATCCTTCTGTGGTCTTTGATGGAGGTGAAGACAGGTAGTTATAGTTATAGTTTTCCTTAGTTATGATAAAAAATAAGCTACATATAATGACTTTAGACTCACACAGATAAGATAGATGATAGAATACTTTAAATCTTATTAAATGTTAATGAACTAAATATTGTAACTATAGTTCTTACTTGATAACTGTTTTGTTGTATATTTTACTATGTTAAAGTTAAAACCATTCTTTTTATTTAGACAGAAAAGACGAAGTATTTGTTGAGTAAATAAAAGCACTTTAGGAACTTGCTTCTGACCTCATCTTACTATTTTTCCCAGCCAGTCTGAGACAGTGCTCTTGATCTGTTGGGTGCCAAGCACCAGCTGTTGTTCACTACCTCATGTCTTATTTAACATCGGCTGTGATGGTTTCAGGCAGGTCTTGGGGCCTCATTGTCTTCTTGAAAAGGTTAGGCACTGTGCCCTGTATCTGTGGCCAGTGTGTGTGGGATCAAGGTTCTCATTCCACTTCTGCCTGGTTCTGAAGTTCATGTTCAGACTTGAAAAGACCCAGATTTTTTTTTTCTTTTTGTGGATATAGAACTGGAAACTTACTGAGCCTTACTGGGTGTCCAATAGCACTACTAAACTTTACTCTGGGACAGGCATTGTGCTCCTGTTTATATCTCATGAGGCATTGCGGGGGGGGGTAGTTTGACAACAACAAAATCCAATAACAAACAACACCAACTCCTCCTGATATAAACAACATGCACATAAAACAAAACACCCAAGCCTTACTCCCAGGGAAGATAGGCTTGTACTTTGAAATTGGGGCTGATGGCCTGGTCCCATGGCTTAGCAAGTAAAGGCACTTACCATGCAAACCTAGTGATCTATGTTTGATCCCTGAAACCCATATAAAGGTAGAGGGAGAGAACTCACTCCACAAAGTTGTCCTCTGGCCTCCACATGTATGCTGTGGAACATGTGTGTCCCTTCCCCCATCACACACATATGTGTTGCACGTCAGTAAGTAGAATTTTAAAAAGAGTTTGTAGGTGGGATCCTGAGATAAAAGTATAATCATTCTGCTCCATCTGCTATATATGCTGACAGTAAAACTGGAGGAGATTCTGTGAGCTCAGACATGGACTCTTCATTCCTAGGTGGCCAGTCTCTGCTTCTAGCTATCACATTCTTCACTTGTGATGTGGAGGCCTGATGGTCACATGCCATGCAGTTGTTTTGTGTACCTCCTCTGAGAATGACAAAAATGTTTTGAGCAAAACCCTGATTTTGGATTCCAAGCCTGACTTGCCCACTAAGGAAGTCTTAATAGTCTGAATATGTTTAGTTGCAGGAAATTTCCAATTGTTCAGTTTTTAAAAAGAACAAAGCTGAGGGTTCCCAAATAAGAACATGCCCACCTCCTGGAAGCTGAGTGGGCAGAGGTCCCAGCCCATGCTGTAGCCCCCCAGACCATCCTGTAGCACCACCCCCAGCCCTGGACACCTTTGTGTTTCTTTTGGATAACAACAATACATAGATGTATGTCACAACTGTGCCATTTTGCCATGGCACACAAGTATAGTTTGTATACATATTAGAGCTGTCACAAGACCAGAATGGAATCATTACTCAAGACATTACTTGCTTTATTATAATAGTGTCAATAGAATGAGTTACACTTAGTAAAATGCATGAAGGCACCTGTGCTTGGCTTTACCCTGCAGAGTAAATAATGAAAAAGGTAAAGTGGTAAACACTCTGCCGTAGTCTCAGTGAAAGGCAGTGATTTGTTAGCATCCCTCAAAGAGAGTATGAGAGCTGGGGATCATACATGCCAGAGGTACAGGGAGTAGGCGTGGTGGAGGAGCTGGGGCACTGAGACAAACCCAATGCATGGGACATGGATGTACCCAGGAGGTCTATGTGTACTGTTGAGTCATGAGCATGGCTTGTGCCCCAGTGGCCCAGTCTGTCAATGTGTAGTGGTTATTTGGAAGCTGAAGTTATCTGACTTATTAGCAAACTACCTGGGAAGCAGGGCTACTGAAACACAGATTCTGAAAATGGAAGAGATTTGGAGGCTTACGGCAATTTTCTGACGGCAAGAATACTTGTTCTTTGAGAGATCTGCCTGTTCAGGGTACTATTTCCCACTCCCAACCCCCTTCCAATAACAAGATGAGGAATTCTGTGCCATATGGGATTATTTCTTAATCCCAGAAATGATAGTTCTGAAAGTTAAAATTCTGAATATTGAAATCCTGGAAACTGAATTTCAAAAACAATTCCCGTGGAGAAAAGGCTACATGAGAAGGCCAGATTCTCTGGAAGAATTGATCATGCAAAGCAGCAGGGTCTAAAATGCCAGTATTCAAAAACAAACAAACAAACAAACAACAAAAACCATTTGTCTGCGGTGGTGTTTCTCCAAGCTAATGACATTCAGTAGCTTTTCAGGAACTCAAGCAGCATTTGCCTGAAGAAGTCAACAGTTACTTACTGGTTGAAAATAATTATGTGGGATACTTCTAGAAGCTGGCAGCAGTTTTACAGGATGATCACTGGAACTGCTTCTGCAGCTTCTGCTTCTGTGGTTTGTTGAATGCAAGTGGAATGGGTGCAGGAAGTATGGTGCACATGTCACAGGGAATAGTCATGTCTGTGTATGGTGAATCATAGAGGAATTTAGAAAATGAACATGGATATGTCTCCAAGGAGAACCATGACCTAAGGAAAGAGCAACGTGGTGTACTGTGTCAGCCGTTATGGGCTACCTCCATGGAGCTGCCCATATTCTACCCCTGTAAAATGGTTTCCTTTATAAAATGTCCTTTACTCTATTTTGTTTTTAAGCCCCCCTCCCAAATTGTCAGCATTTTTTGCAGTTTGCTATGCTGTGTGTGTGTGTCTGTGTGTGTTTTAAGATTGTACTTGACTTTTATTTTGGGGGTGTGGTATTTTGCTTGCACATATGTCTGTGTACTACATGTGTGTGGTGCCTGGAGAAGATGACATCCAGAGAGGCCGTCAGATCCCCTGGAACTGGAGCTAGCAGATGGTTGTGAGCCACAGTGTGGGTGCTGAGAATTGAACCCAGGTTCTCAGTCAGTCAGTGCTCGCTCTTACTGCGTAGCCATCTGTCTAGCCCCTGTGCTCTGTGCGTTATCTTCATACCACTTTCAATATGCCAAGTAAGAAATTGTATATAAACTTTAGATTGCCCCAATTCATTTTATGCATTTCTTTTGGATCCTACTGTGTGTATGTGTGTTACTACGATGTTGATTGTGTGCAGATAGGACATCTGCATTTGTAGAACATTCTCTTTGGGTGACTATATGTGCAATGGTAGCCTATCTTAGTTTTGATCAAAGATTTAGGTTGTCTGACCCAGTGTTTCACATGGCCAGTTAGGAACCTTGGTGCCCAGTTATGAACCATAGTGATAGTTGTTCATACACTTTGCTTTTTAGCATGTTTCTGTGTATATAGGTCATCTGCTTATGATTTAGACATATAATGTCTTTTATTCACTGTGATGCTTACAGCTCACACTGTGATGCGCATAAAGTATTCTGTTGTTTTTATGTTTCTCAAATCCCCCTCTTGATGTAAGTAAATGTCTTTAAATTTGTTTTTTTAGAATTGTAATTTTAGGATTTGTAAGGATTTCAACATTTAAGATTAAAGCATTTGGGGTTGTCTTTTGAGATTATGTCCATCCATCCCTTAGTCCATAGATGAGCTCTGTATCCAGGGCATTGGTCTGGATACAGAGGTAAGCAAGAGTCTTTGACCATCCAAGAAAGTCAGAGCAAGGCATGAATAAGTAGCTGCATAGCAGAGGAAGGCACTGGGTACTGTGGCAGTGTTCGTGCTCTTCCATTGCAACTGGCTGTCTTTAGGCAAGGTGCTTTCAAGCTAAGCTGGGAGGAGTCTTGGTGAAGGATATAGTTTTATGTTCTTCTCTGGGTTAGGGTTAGGGAGCATGTGTAAGTAAGACTCACCAGAGGCTTTTCTTTCAGAGCTTTTTGACATCTGTCTTGCTCGGGCCAAGGAGCGGTGGCGATCTCTCAGCACTGGAGGCTCAGAAGTGGAGAACGAAGGTATAGCTCTTCCCTCGCTGAGCAGTCACTCACAGCAGTAGTACTCCTCACCAGCTGCAGTGTGGCTTTATGGACTGTTAAAAATGGAGAGAAAATAACTTTTAAGAGAAACAAAACCCCACAGTTCCTGCTCTTAACCAGCTACTTTTAAGTAAAGTTGCCCAGTAGCCTGGTTCATTGAGTGTTAGAGGTGGCAGCAGTGCATATCTGTGAGGTTATGGAAATGCACACAAGAACAATACCTCTGTGGGTAGGCAGTATGACTTTTCATGCTATCTTGTACTGGAATTTAAAAATACGTAAAACATTATTTATGAATATTTGAACATAAACTTACTATTTTTATTATATTTTTTAATTGACAAGATTTTTATGCCTATCATGCACAACATGTTTTGAAGCATTTATAACACTATGATAAAAATGTAAGTAAATGTCATTAAGTTTTTTAAAATTTAGAATTATATTTTCAGGAATTTAGACGTTAGGTATTTCAACTGTTAGGATTTATGTATAAATCTAGGTAGTTTATACTAGGTAGTACACATTACTTCACATAGATTGCTCCCTCTCCTCTCTCTACCTCAGCACTGGGGATGGAGCTCAGGGCCATCCTTTTGGTTTTTTTGTTTTGTTTTGTTTTGTTTTAAAGATTTATTTATTTATCGTGTATACAGTGTTCTATCTGCATGCATCCCTGCAGGTCAGAAGGGGGCACCAGATCTCATTACAGATGGTTGTGAGCCCACCATGTGGTTGCTGGGAATTGAACTCAGGACCTCTGAAAGAGCAGCCAATGCTCTTAACCCCTGAGCCATCTCCCCAGCCCTAGGCCATCTCTTTTGTTACTGATCTATGTCCCTAGTCCTTAGTTTAGGGCTTTTTTAAATAGGGAAAACAACTTTCCTCTGTTCTCAGTTTCAAGGATACTATGTATAGTATATAGCTATATATATATATATATATATATAGCTATAGCCACTATTTTGTAGGGATTTTCTTTTATCTGAAATTTTGTATTTTTTGGCCAGTATCTCCCTCCTTCTTGCCCATCCTCCCCTGCCTCTGGTAAACCCATTCTGGCATCTTGTTTCTTTGAGTTCGATGTTTTTAGATTGAGTCCACAAATGATATCGTATAGTTCTTTCTTGTCTTTCTGTGACTGGTTTATTTGTTTGGCACAATGTTCCTCAGCTCATCTGTTGTCCATGTCTGCTACCTTTTCTTCATCTGTTACCCGCAGACAGCCATGCACACCCAGGAGTTTCGTGACTCCTGTGCATAGTGCTGCAGTTACATGGAGATGCCATCTCACTTCCTTCAGCTGCACACCAGGAGTGGAATTGCTGGATCATACTTTTAATTTTTTGAGGCAACACATAACAAATTCTCACCAGGGATTCTTTTTTTTTTTTTTTTTTTTTTTTTTTGGTTTTTCGAGACAGGGTTTCCCTGTGGCTTTGGAGGCTGTCCTGGAACTCGCTCGGTAGACCAGGTTGGTCTCGAACTCACAGTGATCCGCCTGCCTCTGCCTCCCGAGTGCTGGGATTAAAGGCGTGCGCCACCAACGCCCGGCCTCACCAGGGATTCTTTAGGTGAAACAGTCATCTTTGTTATGATTTCCCATGCCTGGGTTCATTGGGTGCATTCCCCAACTTGCATTTATTTTCCTGATTGCTGTTGATGACAAGTAATATCTAACTAGAGTTTGATTTTTAAACTCTAGAAGATAATCTTATATTCTGGCTGGTACTGTGAGGTACTTTGGTCCCTGGAGTGAGATGCTGCACTTGCCATGCACTCTTCATGAAGGTGGACACTGTGTAGACGAAACATAACTCACCTGTGCTAGCGAAGACTTTCTTTATTTCACAGTATAAAGCTCCAGAGCCTGGTAATGACTCCTGTTTGTCTAAGGAGTGCAATGACTTTGGCTTTTTTTTTTTTTTGACAGATGCCGGATTTTCAGCAGCAGACAGAGAAGCCAGTCTGGAGCTTATTAAGCTGGACATTTCTAGAACATTTCCTAATCTCTGCATTTTCCAGCAAGTAAGTGGTAGGAATTTGTCACAAGTGTTCTCTGTTTAAGTTTTAGGAATGCTGAGCCGCATATATTTGTAGGCTGGTTTGAAAGGTTAGCTAGGGTTTTGGTGGGAAATTAGGTTGGTGTCACTGACAGTGCATTTAGATATTTAAAATCAGTATAATTGGTTCTTATTAATCATATATCTGTTTTAAAGGTTTGTTTTGCATGCCAGAACCTCAGTAGGTAGTGCAGAGAGCTTATGGGTAGTTGTGTTGTCAGAATGTTCCTCATGCTCTTCTGATTTTAGGACTGTACGTAGCTGTGTCCTCTTGGTAGGAGCCTCCATGTGATTTCAGGGAACTGCTGAAAGTAGGTTCAGGAAGGAGTGCCTCATAGCTTTGATGTAGCCAGGATGGTTGGCTGAACAGAGGTGGTGGGATTTCTGAGATGATGAGCCAGGAGATAATCGGGAATGAACTCTTGTTTTTCTGGATGTTAGTGGAGCTAGAGAGGTCTCCCCTCAGTCATTTGGGCTCTGACTAGGATATCTGGCAGTAGATCTTAGAATCTTCTCTCAAGGCTTTGTGTTCTTTGAGCGAGGAGACATACACTCAGAGGTCTCCTTTGAGACCTTCCTCCTGAACTAACAGTATCACCAGCTCTCTTCCATAATATTTCTACAGGTTTCCCTTTTCAGTACTCACTGTTTTATTTGAGCGTCTAGCGGCCCCCGGGGGGAGCTGCCCTGCCTGCCCTGCCTCCTGATACTCCTTGCCTGTTGAACAGTATTAGAATTTCCAGTTATGCACCATGATTCCCAGCTTGCTTACATGGCTTACACATGATGGCTTGCTGGGAAAAGGTGGTGTCACAAACCGGGATGAGTTGTTTAAATGGCTGCAAAATGAACAGGCCCAGAGCATCCCAGAGCATCGGGTTTAGGTGGTCTTGGGAAGAATGTGGTTGGGCGAACAATCTGAACAATCTGACAGCACAGGAGAGTCAGTGTCCCCTTCTGGAGTATGGAGAATCAGAGGTCACAGAGTGAACAGTCTTGTCTGTGCATGCATTAGGTTTAATTAATGTAGTCTTGCAGAGAGCATGTGCCTAGTAGAAGCACAACTGGAACAGAAATGTTGGGACCCTGTTCCTGTACAAGAATCAGTGTAGAGGACACAGTTGTGCCTGCAACCTCCTTAGAGGGTTTCTCTGTCCTGATGGATACAGAACTGGTAAGGACTGCTTCTACGCTAGAGCAGAGTATGTTGACTCTGGGACTCTGATTTGTGGCTGAGAATCAGGCAGCTAGCATGATGTGGCCAGGCATTAGGGACTATCCAGCTTCAAGGGCAGCACCAGTCTGAGTACTGTGGGTGCTTAGGGAGGGGGAGGGTCAAGAGAAGTCTTTGGGTTCCAGTGACAAGGTTGTTGCTGTCTCAGTGATTCCACAAAGCAGGGTCTCAGTATCTAGGTGTGGAGCATCTTAATTCAGCTGGAAATGTTTGCATTTGAGTCTTTAGGACTCTTTCAGTCAAAGCTAGGGGAAAACTCTATAAAGCTGTTCAGAAGTACCATAAACCCTGGGAGTACTGCCCAGGCTTGGTGGCATGTGTGGATTCAGCTGGGCAGCATCTTCTGAATAGTCCTTTCTCTCTTAGAAGGATTGTCTTTCTCCTCTCAGCACACTTCTGTAGGCTTCAGCCCATACCACACCTTGTAGCCCACTCCCTGATCATCTCCTTAGAGGCCTTCTGCTTGCTGACCCTTTGGGCCTTTCCTCCTCAATGGGGCTCCTATGACTCCAGCTCTGAAGGGGCTTAGGCAGTGCTGCTTTTTGAAGGGGGTTGACTTTGGTCTCAGAGATTTGGGTTTCATTCTCATCAGTTGCCTCCTTTTTTGTTTGTTTGTTTGTTTTTTTGTTTTGTTGTTTTTCGAGACAGGGTTTCTCTGTATTGTTTTGGAGGCTGTCCTGTAACTCCGAAGACTAGGGTGGCCTCCAACTCACAGAGATCTGCCTATCTCTGCCTCCTGAGTGCTGGGATTAAAGGCGTGCGCTACCAATGCTTGGTTGCCTTCTTGTTAGTAGTTTGGTCTCAGGTAAAACATTTGATCCCTCTACCCCATAATCTGTTCATCTGTGACTGGGAATGATCTATGCAGCCTTAAAGCCTTGTTCATAGTGTTTGACTTAGAGGGAAGCCATCAGTGCTATACTGGCTGTTAATTATCTTTGACTGTATTTGAAACTAAACGACAGTGGGACCCACCAAACCCTTCGCACTTCAGGCAGCCCAGAAGTGGGGACATGGGAGTCTTCAGAGGGAGCTCATGGTGCCTGATCTCTTGACTGCCAGGGAGAAGCTTTGTACCCTTTCTCATTGGTAGAAGTAAAACCAGAGATTTTACAGGGAAGCAAGTAGGACTGAGAGCATGGCAGGGCAGGTGTCCCAGCATGTTTCTGAGGGTCCTGCTGTGCTGAGGGCCAAACCTCAGGGCTATGGAGCCCTAAGAGCCTGTGAAGGCTCTGCAGAGGCTGAGGCTCAACTTTGCATTACTGGGTTTGAGAGGGCTTCTCCTGAAACATGGTCCCTAAATTCTGCTTCAGAAATGTTGAAATGAAGAGTCCCTGGTGCTTACTTGGGAGCAGAGGGCGAACTCTAAAGAGAGGGGACATGGAAGCTCTGTGGTCCTTTCCAGGTAGATTGTTCTCTCAGGATTCCTTTGAGACCTCTTTGTTCAATGGTTTTTGGTTTTGGTTTTGGGAACGGATAGCGTTACATGTAAAGGCTGAGGGAAGAACCTGAGAACCCAGCACAAGCAAAGGACACTCAGGAAAAGGAGCTGGCACCAACATGAGCGGTGGAATGACAAAGTGGAAAGCCCTTTAAGGAAAGAACAGTATAGGTTCTCTCAGTCTCGGATCACATAGAATCTCTCTACAGTCACTCTGGTCCTCGAGTAGCTTGTGGATCTGCCTCCATTGTCCCCAGCCCTGTATCCCCCCCCATTGTATTTTCCTTATTTGGCTCTTTGTGCTTTGAAAATGTCTCTTTAATATAGCTTTTATATATAGGTGAGAGTGCAATGGTCTCTGCTGGGAGTTGTGGCGTATACATGTAATTTCTGCACTGAAGAGGTTGAGGCAGGGATTTGGCTCTCCTTGGCTATACAGTGAGATCCTATTACCAACTAACCAGCCAACCAGCCAACCAACCAACAAAATAAAAAAAGAAAATGTGATCATCTGGTTTTTGTCATTCCTTTGTAAGCCACCCAAAGGCACCTGTGGAGAGACTTCATAGTCATATATGCCAGAAAGAATATTTATTCCTGTGTTATATGAGGGCATGTGGTAGATTAAGGCACTAGGAGCTTCATTTAGGTCCAGCCAGTTCCTTTAGAGTGTCTCTGGCATACTAACATCAGTGTGGGACAGCTCTGGGTTTACCTCCTTGTTGCAAGAGCAAATGGGAGTCTTAGCAGGTAGAAGGGCTAGGAGAGCACTTGAAATGGAATCTACTAGGAGCTTTCCAAACCTGCTGTTGAGAAAGATGCAGAGGGAACAGAGTGATGGGCAGAAGAGAGGCAGGAAGAACCATACTTGTTGTGGGCACAAGGCTAAGTCTCAGCAGTCTTGTCACTTGCTGTGAGGAGTCTTGGCCACCTGGTTTACGTACTGAACTTGGAATAGAACATGATTCTATAACGTGAGCCAAAGGAAGGACATTTCTCGAGGGTACTGCTCACAGCTAACCCTTTAGCTTTTCTAGAATAGCTTCATAGACAGAACTGCAGATTTCTCATTAACAGCAAGTTAATAGCTCATTTATTAAATTGCATAATGCATCTAGAGCTGCTCAGCAAAGTCCCTCCTGTATGATCAGCAGGATGACAGTGGTGACAGTAGCAGCAATGGTATTAGATGCTATTCTAAGGCTAACAGTACTTATGCATGTGTTGATTGTGGCATGTCAATCCTTTTAGGGTGGTCCATATCATGACATGTTGCACAGTATTTTGGGCGCTTATACTTGCTACCGGCCGGATGTGGGTTATGTAAGTGATGCTTTCCAGTTTTTTTTATTATGTTACAGTCTATAAAGAAAGTCAAAGCATTTCCCCGCTCTCATATTTAATGCTATCATGACCTTTTGAAGAATATGAAAAATCTTGAGATAAATGGGTTGATTCAGTTTCCTTGGAGAAATTGGCTTGACATGGCTACTCTGTGGTATTCATCAGCACATTTTAACTAGGTTTGATGTTTATTTTTTGCATGTGATTTACCCCCGAAATTAAGTAGAGAAGGCTTTACCATTAACCATTTTTCAAAAGTGTGCTGCTGCTAAACAGATGTGTATGTATGCATGATCTTACTTAAACCTGCAAAGTTCATACATGTGACCACAACCCAGCATGGCACATACCAGATGGCATTATTTCAGATGTCAAAGGCCTAAAGTGTGGTTAGCTTATGATTTTCCATTAGAAGGGGGAGCAGATGGAGGGAGAGAGCAGGTGGCTGATAGGCAAAGCTGTGGCTCTGGGAGGGTGGGTCTGATCTAACAGGGTTTATTTAGGGAGTGAATGGGTGGCTGTGAGGGCCTTTTTAATGGGAAGGTGTTTTGGTTTCTCTTAACACGTAAAAACTGCTCTGACCTTTGTGGCCACATTAGTTAACATAACGTTTCTCTCCTTTCTCAGGTTCAGGGCATGTCCTTTATAGCGGCAGTGTTGATCTTGAACCTAGATACTGCAGATGCCTTTATTGCTTTTTCTAACCTTTTGAATAAACCCTGTCAAATGGCATTTTTCCGAGTGGACCATGGCCTTGTGAGTATGCTCTGTGTATGTCCCAGCACCATGTCTTTATGCAGCAAGAACTACCCAATCATTCTGTCTTTTCAAGGCATGATGGACTGTTTATAATGAGAAATGCATGAACTTAAGTATAGAAACATATAGTCCATTTCCCCTTGTATGAACAGATTACTACATTCTCCTAGAGAGACAGTGTGTCTGAAATGCTATATTCTTTCAATGGAGGTGGAGCGTGAGTCCTTTGCAAGTATGTGCACTTTGTGTTAGGGAGATATAACAGCAGTACTCTCAGTTGAATAGAATACCTGAGGGCTGATGTGTGCTGCTACTCAGAGGGAGATGTGCTCCTGACCATATTCCCTTACTTCAATAAGGCGGTGGTTTAGAGTGCTGTGTAGATGGCCTTTACCATTGGTGGCCGTTAAGAGACCCCCCACATACTTCACAGCTGAGTCCCCTGCATTGTCCAGATGTGGGAACAGACTGAGGAGGGAAGTGGCTTGTCCAAGACATGTCTGGTACATGGGAGAGCTGAGGGTTGAATCCATTCTGGGTCCTAAACTTTGTTCTTACTGGAAGAAAACTCGCTATTCCATTAGCTTTTAAGTTGGTGTTGCTTTGATTTCCTGGTCATTAACACTATTGTATCAAGACCTCAACTATTTGATGGTATATGTCAACTTGGAGCCCTTCTTCCTTAAATGTCTTCAGGATCCCAGTAGTCTTTGTTCTGAAGCTGCTGCTCACTCTGACTTTAGGGGGGAGTGTCAGGGTTAGGGTCCTTCAGGAAGATTGTTTGGTATTCCATTTCTGTAGCTCAAAGTGGCTTCAATACAAAGTTCTTATAAGAATTGGTTCTGAGGCCAGGTGGTGGTAGCAAATGCCTTTAATACCAGCACTTGGGAGGCAGAGGCAAGTGGATTTCAGTGAGTTGGAGGCCAGCCTGGTCTACCAAGCCAGTTCCAGGACAGCCAGGACTGTTACACATAGAAACTGTGTTTCAAAGAACAAACAACAACAACAAAAAGCCGGGCATTGGTGGCGCACGCCTTTAATCCCAGCATTTGGGAGGTAGAGGTAGGCAGATCTCTGTGAATTTGAGGCTAGCCTGGTCTACAGAGCGAGTTCCAGGACAGCCTCCAAAACAATACAGAGAAACCCTGTCTCGAAAAAAACAAAACAAAACAAAACAAAAAAAACAAAAAAAGGTGGTTCTGAGAAAAATCATATTTGTGAGCAAAGCAATATGCATAGAGATTATTATTTACAATTGTAAATATGAGAAGGGTTTTAAATGGGTTGGGGAAATGGGGTGATAAATGAAATCTGCCAAGATCCCTAGTGCAGCAGTGACTCACTGCTGTATAACGAGTGTGAGGTAGACCTAGTGCAGCAGTACTCTGTGTAGCACTGTTAAAAAGGGATTATACCTCAAAGCAGTAGCGCTTATGGACAGGTACTTCATGAATAGTATTTTTGTCATTTTGTTTCATATTTTGAGGCCTGGTCTTACTATGTAGCCCAGACTGTCCTTAAACTCCTGGTCCCCTGCCATAGTTTCCTAACTGCTAGTATTACAGGGAATACTACAGGCTTGGCTTGTTGCTTCTATGCTTAGTTTTCTTCACTGAGCAGTATAGGGACCCTTTCATAAGCAGATAAAAAGTTTCCAAGAAAAGAGTGAAGTCTTTAGGAGAGATTCTCACCTTTGAACAGCTTGATGCTACTAACCTACTGACGTTATATTGCCTATGTATTAGTCCTAGGAAGTAGTTCCTGAATGTCAACTTAAATTTGCTTTGTTTTGGAACAAGGTCTTAACTGATAACCCAGCTGACCTTGAATTCATAAGCCTACTGTTTCAGTCTCCTGTCTGCTGGGGTTATAGTTGTGTTCCACCATGTTGAGCTTTAATTTTCTCTTTCTATATATAGAAAGATGGTACCCGTTTTTGCTAATTTTGAAGACCCCAGCTTTCTGTCTTTAATATGGAATGAGGAAAGGGAGAAGCAGCTTGTTAGTGTTGAGTGGGACCTTTGCTCTGGGCAGCATGACAAACTTTAAGCCAGATGACTGCTGTAGGGCTTCCTGCTCATTGAAGGCTTCTGCACACTAATGCCACCCCATCCCACAAGTGTCCCTAGACATGGCCTCATGTCCTGTGGTCTACATGAAAATGAGTAAAGGAAGTCAGGGTTGGGCTCTGCCTCGGCACTTGGTGGATGATGAGTAGAGCAGAGTCGCCAGCCCAGGCATGGTTGCTCCCATCCAGCAGAGCTCTTCTTCCTACATATTGATTGCTCCATGCTGTTTCTCCCCCCACCCTGCTTCTTTCTTTTCTTACAAAGCTTATGAGAACCTGGCCTGTTGCTGCCTCCTTGCAGTGTCTTCGTTTGCTGTGGTCAAAGGCTTACATGTTTAAGCTGGAACTGTGTTGTCCTTCCCTCAGACTCTAGTCTTGTCTCTTCCTCTGTGAATGTGCTAGACTTGGGCAGCAGGCAGCTTGCTTTCCCAGGTTATCTCTCACAATGCAGCTGCAACCTTCATAGCATTACAGGCCGTGGTTCAAGTCCCAGCTCTACCATGTACCGGTACTTTGCCCCTGTGTGGCAAGTTAAACAATTGCTCTGGGTTTCAGTGTCTTTCCCTGTAACTTGAAGGAATGATAGAATGTGGACAGAACTGCTGTGAGAAGCTTAGAGACAGTATTATGCTTATCTACTTGTTACCTACCTGGGTAACAATTATTAGATTCTAAGTGCGCAAAACTCTTGACTCTTGTGGATTGGAAACTCGTACTGATAATTAGTTTACTAGTGTATTTAACATTGTCTCCCTAGATGTTGACTTACTTTGCTGCATTTGAGGTATTCTTTGAAGAAAACTTGCCGAAATTGTTTGCACATTTCAAGAAAAACAACTTAACTGCAGACATCTACCTAATTGATTGGTAAGACTCAGCTTTCTTGCTTTCCAGAGCACTTCTCATCCCTTGCCTGTTTTCCTGTTGTCACTGTCACTTTCTTGGAGGACTCAGCTGAGTCTCCTTGCCCTGCTTCCCAGCTCCCCTCTGCCTTGAATGCCTATTTATTTTCCAGGCTCTTTGTCCCAGTGACTTGACTGACCTTCTAGACTCCCTCAATGGACCTTCTGTTTTTAAGGCACTATTGCCAATCCATTAAATGAGATGTCTCTAGGCAGCAAGTGCATGCCACACCTTTTACTAGAAGTCCACTGATAGGAGCTTGAGTGAGTGTGGAAGGGAGAAACAGCATGTGAATTTCAGAACTTGAGTCACTGTGCTGCCCTGTAGGAGAGACAGATAGAAGGGGAGAGAAGAGGTGATAGATCCCAATCTAGGGTGATGGGGTGTGGGAAACAGCATATAGGGGCTCAGAATAAGCCAGAGCATAGCAGCTGGGCTGGTGGCATTGGGGGACATCATAAAAGGCTGAGGATAAGGGTGGGGAGTTTGGGAAACCAGAACATCTGAGTCTCAGAGGCCAAGCTGTGGGCCACAGGAGATGATTGACAGCCTGTGCTTGTTGTATAAGTCAGCTCCAAGCAGCCTGGGGGGTAGGAGCTCCTGGGTGAGAGCTCAATGAAGGAAAGCAAGGCCTGATGGAGATTAGGGAGAGGAGTCATTGACAGATCCTAGGAAATGTGTTGTGGACTTGCCAGGGGATCATGGTGTTTGTGATAGTACTGATAAGGGATTGCTTGTGTTAGCGGCTGATATCTGAAACACAGAGGAACAAATTTGACTTTGAGCATGAAGATTTTATGGGAGATCTAAATAGAAGTTTCCTGAGACCTGTAAGTAGGAGGCTCCAGAATTGTGAACTGAAACAGTAGATCAGTTACATCTCTGCACAGAAGTAGTTGTGGTCATAAAGAGAGGATGGCTGTCACCTTCAAGTGCACCAGGTTGAGGGCCAGGTAAGGGACCTGGAGACCTGAGTGCTGCAAGGAAAAGTTGTCATGTGGTAGAAGAGTGTGCTTCAGGACCCTTGTGCCCCAGCCAGGCATGATGTACTGTGCTATGGTCTACAGGGGCCAGGGAACTCTTCTAATTGTGCTCCTGCAGAGACCATGATAACTGGCTATTCAAGGCATTTCAGAGTGACTACTCTGTCTTGGAGAAGGGGCTTTTTGTGAGGAGAGATGTCATTTGGCCAAAAGGCCCATCTGAACTGCAACACTACCTCAGAGAGGAAAAATGAGCTCCTCTGCCACCCTGGACAGAGAACTGGCTGGTTTAGGTTTCTCCTCACTTTCTTCAGGAAGCAAGAGGACTTCTAGATGATAAATAAGTACTGTCCAAGCCTACGTCAAATCACTCAGTAGAGCAGACCTGTCTACATCCTTGGGAATGAGTGTCAGATATCCATTGTGTTGCTTCTGCCGTAAGCTGGTGCCTGGTTCAGCATGTATGAGGGTTTACACTTGTATATGAAGTCACTGGCGCTGATATAGAATGTAAGCACCAGGCTTAGATGGGCCATCATTGGGAATACTCAGCTGTTCTGTCTGCTTGTGCTACACATAAATGTTTGGAACATCCTTTTAAAGGGGTCCCTTTGTTTAACAGATGATTTTTATCCTCCCATGAACATTTGAGTGCACAGATGGCTCCTTGCCACCCTGAACTTTGTATCTATATTGGACTGTCAACTCTGAACCCTTAGATCTCCCTTGCTTAGAGCTCAGAACAAGAGATCATTAGAAGACAGACTCTCCCCACAACTAGAAGCCTAGACATCTACCTGGTTCTATTGAAGCCTTCCATAGGAATTTTAAGTTTTAGGCTAGATTCTATTCAAATCTTTTTTTCACCTTGGGTTAGAAAACACTGCATGTAACCGGGCGTTGGTGGCGCACGCCTTTAATCCCAGCACTCGGGAGGCAGAGGCAGGCGGATCTCTGTGAGTTCGAGGCCAGGCTGGACCGATAGCCTCCAAAACAGAGAAACCCTGTCTCGTAAAACCAAAAAAAAGAAAAAAGAAAAAAGAAAACACTGCATGTTATGTGGTAACCCAGTAGAACATTAACTTGTGTATACTGGGACAGAGACTCCATGAAGCAGAACCAGCTTGACATTATGGAAAGCGTTCTGAAATGTTCTGTCGATAATGGCAAACTCTCACTGACTTGGAGTCTGACTGTGTCCTGAAAGCCATAGCCTAAAGGGCAGCTTTGTTTTTTCCTGTCCCAGCCAGCAGGGCTGTGAGTTCAGGGTGTCCACAAGGAAAGGAAGCTCTATGGGGTTTTGTTCTGAGATATTACGTCGTGATGTGATTGATGCCAAAGCCTTCTGAGTACTGTTCTTCCCTGCAGGGTGGCTTGTTCCTCACGTGATGTTGTTGCGTTCTGGAGTAAGGGCCAAGTAGGGCACCTGCTGCATGTGCAGTCCCATTACAGGGTTAGGTGCACAGGAAGGCTCTAGAAGCGCTGTACTAAAGTTGAACTGAGTTGAGGGAGTGCCTTCTCCTGATTGTTGTTACTCTGCTTATTAATGGTCTGCAGTAAGTCTGATGTCCATAGGTGCTGATGGTCAGAGGAAGCCTCAGTCACTAGAGACTGCATGTGAAAATACTCATTGCTTTGTCTCTGACGTTTTCTCACCCAGTGTCACCCTCTAGTGTGCATGCTGTGTAGTGTGACTCCAGAGCCTTGCTCTTTTGTGTCCTACCACCTCCTCAAGCTGCATCTACACTTAAAATTGCCTTGAACTGTGTTCATGTGACCTGCACAGTGCACAGTGTGTGAGAGTGTCCAGCCCCAGGGATTAAGTGACTGAGCTACCTCCTCTTCTGTGTGGCTCCATGGGTGCTCAGAGATGGCTACATAGGGTGAGCAGACACCTGGATGCCCTGCTGTCTACCCTCCTCCAACACTACCTGTACACTCATAGTTCCTCTCAGAGCTTCAGGGTTCACTTCTATATCCTTAAGGCCTGACCCCATCCTTGGTTCAAGTCCTAGGCGGGACAAGGACATTTTTGTTTCCAAGAGTCCCTTTAGGTGCCAGTGGCCTAAAGCCACCTGTTCCCTTGTCCACTTTTCTGCTGCACAGGCTCCTCCCCTTATAGCCCTGCAGGACAGAGCTTCATGAAGAAAGCTGGCCAGATGACTTGTTTAGCTGTCTGCCTCTCTGCTGTGGACTTGAAGATCAGAGAAATGGCCTGTCACCTACCTTCATTTCCTATGGAGTTTTGAGTGGTCTGACTATCAAGGCTCTAGATGCTATAGGGGAGCTGATCAGAAGTAGCTTAACTTCCCAAAAGATTTCTCTCTTGTTATCCAGTGGCAGAGTTATTTGAGGATGTGAGTGAGTTTTATAACAATAATATTGAGCTAGTCAAAAGACCTAGCAGAGTGCTACATATATGATGATGCTTTGAGATGAAGAGCTGTCACTCTGTGGGGTTTCTCCTTGTGGGAAGGTTCAAAGAGGTGGATGTTGGTGATTTGGGTTTCTGTTGCATTCTGTACTAAGTTCATTCATGGGTCTCACCTTCTACCCAGGACACCTTGAGAATAGGTAATACATTGGACCAGAGGGGGGGGGAGGGAGAGAGAGAGAGAGAGAGAGAGAGAGAGAGAGAGAGAGAGAGAGAGAGAGAGAGAGAGAGAGAGAGAGAGAGAGAGAGAGAGAGAGAGAGAGAGAGAGAGAGAGAGAGAGAGAGAGAGAGAGAGGAGAGAGAGGAGAGAGAGAGAGAGAGAGAGAGAGAGAGAGAGAGAGAGAGAGAGAGAGAGAGAGAGAGAGAGAGAGAGAGAGAGAGAGAGTTTCCTAGTTTTCCTAGAAACATGGGGAACTGGGTAGGATAGTAACTGAGGGTGCTCCTGAACCAGCGGTGGGTGAAAGGCTCATTTCTAGGAACCAGTCAGGTTGAGGAAGTTGGACACAGCTAGAAGTTGGTGCCATGGCCTGTAGGTTCAAATCATTAGCCATAGGTTCTCTATGGGCAAGACTGTTAGGTGACATTTTCTCCACCCAAAGCTGTGATCAGGTTTCTACCATGCTCTTTGTTTTGAATATCATCATCTGCAAAGTGGAGGTGAGACTGCCTTCTCTTGGGGTTGTATTGAGGAGGCATGTCCCATGGAAGAGCAAGAGTACCCCTGGGTTGCTGTTTGCAGCCTGGGGCTGCTCACTTGTAGCCCAGGGTCTCTCTCTAAGAAGGACTGGCTCACTGGGAGTGGGTGGGGAGGGGGGAGATTTCTGTCCTGGAACTTCAGTTCTTTTCATAGCTAACCCAATGATTAGGCTGGGCATGGCTAGATAAACATATTTCTGGGAATAGTGAAGGATCAGCAGGAAAGATTATCCCTTCTGTCCACATCTGTTAGAGAGAAATGGATGCTCACATTGCTGTCTTGAAAGCCCATGGCACTGGCACAGCAGCACAGAAATGCATTGCTTTGCAATAGTTGGACTCAGCCCTGAAAGTGCCTTGCTTAATATTTTGTTCAGTATTTGAGGGGCCTGAGGGAGGGAACAAAGAAACATTTCTTCTTGAATTCTGTCTTCCCACTGTGGTAGGAACACCAGAAGGACCTGGGGAAGCCAAGGGCCTTCACTATCCACCCTACTCCAGAACATAGTCACTGACTGGGAGCAGGATGCAGCCTTAAGCCATAGAGAAGATGTGAATTTGGGCTCTAAGATGTGGGAGGGCTATGTGCATATATTGGCCCTCCTATTCCATCCACTTTTTCAGGGCCAGGGCTAACCTGGCATCAACTCCTGGCCTGTGACTGAGCCAAGTGACTCACCAGCCCATGGGTGTGCTGCCCAGATTCTTTTCTCTGACTTTTGAGTCTAAATGTTGTTTGAAATCTAGTTAAGCATTTGCAGTCTCCTGGTAATAAGGGGAGAGAAGAGAGTGGTGGCATCAGCTTCCAAGCATTTGAGCTGGGAGAAGGGAATATGAAGGGACTGTTGAGAACTGAAGGTCTGAGTCCTAGAGTCACTTGCAGCCAAGAGCCGAGGACAGGAGTTTAGTCACAGCCACATACTCTTAGAGGAAGCCCATGCTTTGATGGCTGTAGGTGCCCCCTGACCTGAGCAGAGGGGCATTTGGAAGCATGTTACTGAGATGCCTGCTGGAGTCTGCAAGGCCCTAAAGATGTGAAGGTACGAAAGGCATGAAAAATAACTCAGTATTAATAACAACAGAGCCCCTCCTTTCCAGCACTGCACTGTCTCTGAGAGAACTGTGGCTGCTCTTGATGACAGCTAGGAAAGGGATGCATGAGGTACAAAGTGAACATTGACAGGAAACACTTCGTTATGACTGTGTGGAGACACAGGGAGGAGCGGGCCTTCTACAAGCCAGGGAAAAGGTCTCAGAAGAAGCTGGGGATCCCTGCTTATTCTACCTTGATCTCATGAAGACACTGAATTGTGAGGAAATAGCTATCCATGTTTAAGCCCAAACAAGACAAACCAAAATGCCCCCAAACAAAACAACAAACCAACAGGAAGATTCATCTATCCTGAGGGTTAGAAATGGCCTCCCAAGGAAGTCACCAGGGCTGAGACTTGGATGAAGAGGCATCTTCTATGAAACAAAAATTTTCTTTAAAAGGCACATAAATATAAAGGTAATATAACATTCTAAGCCATAATCATTTGCACTCTTTTATAGAACAAAGAATAGTTGTTAACAGTGAGGTCAGGTAGACTCTTCTATGTGCAGTGAGGCTGGAGAGCAGTTTGATAGCCTTCACTTTCTGATCCTGGTTGTCTTTTCTTGGCTTGGTGCTTTCTACACAGACTATATGCACAACTATGTTACTGGCACAGAACTTCTCTTTGAACCGACAATCAATACATTTATCACCTGAATGTCTGACTTTCAGCACATAACATGTCTCCCACTCAGAGTATAAAATGACAGTTTCATCCTTTGGGTGGCTCAGCCAGTGACCTGATGTCTTGGGTTTCTCCTTTGCTTCCCCACCACTGTCCAGGTAGTACCTGATTTGGGCCAATTCTCCTGCTCCCTTTCTGCTCTATGACTGCAGCTATCTGGGTCATCTGCCCAGCCTGCATCCCCTCCAGGAACTGTCAGCCTGCTACTTCCTTGAACTGCCTCAGTTCACTGAGAATAAAGTCCAGAGCCTATAAAACAGTCCTTTCTCATCTGTGCCCATGTTCTTCCCAGACAGCCTTTTCTCCACTACCTGGTTTGCTTCATCAACTGGCATGATTCATCGTCATGCTGCCCTCAGACATGTAGTTATCCTAAACTCTGCTGCAGGTGTGGGGAAAATCCTGGAGCTCCTCTCCTGGCTGCCTGCTTCCTTTTTAGGGTGGATGGCACTGCTTCTCCTCAACATTGTGTTCTTCCCCATCATCCGATGTAGAAGAGCATTCGCATGCATTTAACCTTCTATGCATGCATAGTGCATACCCTCCTAACAATCCCTTTCTATCCTTAAGCCCCATCTGTGTGTGTTTGTCCTTTGTGCTCCTGAGCTGTCTGTTCAGCACTTTGTATCTTTATCACCAATCACTAGCAAGTAGCATACAGCAGGCTTCAAAAAAGTATGTATGACCTAGGACTCTGAGACTTGACACAGGAGGATGGCAAGTTTGAGGTCATCCTGGTCTACTGCTTTCTTTTTAAAGATGTCTAGTGGGCTGGAGAGATTGTTCATTGGTTAAGTGCACACCCTACTCCTCCAGAGGACCCAAGTTTGGTTCCCATCAGGTGGTTCACAACCACTTGTAACTCCAACTCCAAGGGGACCATGATGCCTCCAAGGAGACCTATACTCATGTGCACATACTCACACATATATACATATTTTAAAATATTAAAAATATATCTTGGTAGAAAAAAAGGTGCCTGACCTGAGCTATTTTGAATCAGAAAGGATTGGTACCATAGCCATCCTCAGGGAGACAGGGCTTTGCTAGTCAGTGCCCTTTCATACCTGCCTAAAGGAGTTGATGGAGATCCACATGCAAATCTGAATTCAGTAGTTTTATGCTATATGAGAAAAAGAATCAAGTTTACTTCATGGATTTGGGATAAAAACTGGGGGATCCTTTTTGTTGCTCTTGTTGGCCCCATCAGTCTTTAAGGAGATGGGAGACATGGTTCCCGTGTGTGGACTGCGGTTTGTGTGTGGGAAGTGTGGGCTAGGTTTCTACACTTTCGTTTTTAGTTGTTTTTATACAGAGTTCTGCTTTATAACTCAGACAGGCCTGAACTTGCTATCCTCCTGCCTCTCAGGACTGAGGTTACACATGTGCATTGCCATACCCAGACTTCTCACTTTATAATACTGAACAGAGCTCTAGCTCTGGACCTACATGGTGACATAGGCCCAATCCAGGTTAGAAGTGCTTGACCCCAGGGCACAGGTGTTATTCCAACACAGTTGTTAGGTAGTTTGGATTGTGCTTATCATTTGTATTTGAGTGCATTCACATGTACAAGCCAGGGGTCATTTCTCAGAAGCTATTCAACTTGGTTTTTTTGGGGGAAGGGGTTGAGACAAGGTTTCTCTGTGGCTTTGGAGGCTGTCCTGGAACTAGTTCTTGTAGACCAGGCTGGTCTCGAACTCACAGAGATCCACCTGCCTCTGCCTCCCGAGTGCTGGGATTAAAGGCGTTCACCACCACCTCCTGTTTTTGTTTTGGTTTTTTTGTTTGTTTGTTTTTGTTTTTGTTTTGTTTTGGTCAACTTGTTTTCAAGTACAGGTTTTCTCATTGTCCTGGAGTTATCAAGTAGACAGACTGCCCAGTGAGCCCCAAGGATTTGCCTTTGCCACCCAAGCTCTGAGGTTACAAGTGCATGCCGTTGTACCTGGGTGCTTTGTGTCAAATTCAGGTCCTCACATTACCACTGAGTTATCTCACCAACTTTCAATTATATTTTTAAGCTAATACCTTTCATCTGATGGTTTGCATTATTAAAGTGTAAGATCAGTTTTTAATAATCTACAGTCAGGAGCCGGGCGTTGGTGGCGCACGCCTTTAATCCCAGCACTCGGGAGGCAGAGACAGGCGGATCACTGTGAGTTCGAGACCAGCCTGGTCTACTGAGTGAGTTCCAGGACAGGCTCCAAAACAATACAGAGAAACCCTGTCTCGGAAAAAAAAAAAAATCTACAGTCAGATTTATCAAGAAAGCCAGGCATAGTGGCATACACCTATATCCCATCACTCAGAAGTTGTAATGAATTCCAAGCCAGCATAGTTTGCTACATAACTAGATTCTGTCTCAAAAACCAAACTATGACAACAGAAAAATTTACACCTTGCTGCATTGCTGGCCCCCTACAAGGAGAATAACAAATAGCACTCTGTCCTCTCAGTTCTCATTTCCTAGCTGACGCCAAGCTCTACTGAGGTATAAAACCTGTCTTATTAGATCTAGTATGCAACACCTGTCTCATTGAGCACATAGTATCTGATTGATAGACTTCTGCTCCAAGTAGGAATTATCTAATATCCATGATCCAGAAACTGTGTAGTGTTTGATAACACATTGATGCTGACAGTGCTGTTTTGTGTGACATGTAAATCGGCCTTCAGAGTGATTGCAGGACAGTGTTGTCCACAGTGTGTAAAAGTCAGGGACCCAGGATGTTGTGCATGCCTTATGCCATCCCAAACCTAAAAGCTCCATTTTTCCCCAGGATCTTCACCTTGTATAGTAAGTCCCTGCCCTTGGACCTCGCTTGCCGCATCTGGGATGTGTTCTGTCGAGATGGGGAGGAATTTCTCTTCCGCACAGCTCTGGGCATCCTGAAGCTCTTTGAGGATATCCTGACGAGGATGGACTTCATCCACAGTGCCCAGTTTCTGACAAGGCTGCCTGAGGACCTGCCAGCAGATGAAGTGTTCGCAGCCATCTCCACTGTCCAGATGCAGAGCCGGAACAAGAAATGGGCACAGGTAAGTCAGGATGTGCATAGCTGTGAGACACTGAACCTTTGAGAAGGCTGTCTTTGGAAATGGTGCTCAGGCTGAAGGTACACGGTCTGACTCATGGCTGGGTTTCTGACAGCTTGGAGGAATGTGTGTAGGGAGAGACAACCCCCCCCCCCATTCTGTATTGTCAGCACTTCTAGGTCACCTCTGTAGGACTCCACCAGAAAGGTCCCCTCCTCAACTTTTTTTTTGCATTTATTGTTTTCTGTGTGTATGACTATATGAGAGAGGGCCAGTGCATGTGCCACAATGAGAGTATGTAGGTCAGAAGGCAACTCATGGAAATTGGTTCTCCTCTCCTACTGTGTGAGTCCCAGCATCGAGTGCAAGTCTTCTGGCTTGGTGGCAAGTACTTTTACCCACTGAGCTGTCTCAACAGCCGGAGGCATTTCTTGAGGTGATGAAAATGCTTTAAAGTTGCCTTTTGGTGAGGTTGACTTGCATGCTTTATGTGGGTGAATTGCCTATGAATTATAGTTCAGCAAAGCAATTAAAAAGGTATACTTAGTTCACATGAGAGCAGAACTGACTGTGCTGTCATCAGGGATCCAGGGGCAGAGGAGAGCCTTTCTTTGACTAATAAACAAAGAAAAGTATGAATAGAAACATGGCCTTGGCTCTAAAGTTACTGAGAATTTCAAGATGAGCCTGAAGCTAAGGAGAGTCCATTTGAAAGCTGGGTGGGGCCAGTGTGAAGGTTTTTGGAATCTTCCAACCTATTGCTTATGGTGGCTTTTGAATCCACACGGAAAAGTAAGGTGTAAGATGATGGCAGTCTGGCCTCATAGAGTGCTCTGCTTGGCATGCAGTTGGTGTTCGGGAATGTTATCACTGCTGCCTAAAGGTGGGGTGCTCCTTAAAGTGTCAACCAAGAGCTGGGAGAGCAGAGGAGAGAACAGTCACTTCAAGACCATGTCACACCTCTGTCTGGCCAACTTCCTGATGAAAGGGATCAGCTATATCAGTAACATGGAGTAGGGGAGCTTGTTAGTGCCCTGGGGGAAACCTGGGCCTCTGCTGTGTTCAGGGGCTAGCCAGCAGCTCAGAGAACAGGCATATAGGGGGATGGGGTAGGAGTGTTAAATGGCTGCTGTTTTTCAACTGTTTTGTGAGGTTCTCAGGTCAGTGTGGCCTGTGAATCTAACCATAGCTGTCTTTTCTGTGATTCTAGGTGCTGTCTGCGCTGCAGAAAGACAGCCGGGAAATGGAAAAAGGAAGCCCATCCCTCAGACACTGAGGCTCAGGGGTGACTCCCACTTGGCACTGAAGCAGAGCTCCACATGGCACCTGTGTGCTTTCAGACTGAAGCCTGGGAAGAACAGGGGCTCTTTCCATGTTGGATTTCTAATGCTGAAGTTGGCCTTAAAACAAAACAGCTCTTAAAGAATTACATCCAGGCTTAGCCTTAAGCAGCTCAGTGGACCTGTGCACTGGCATTGGTCATGACTAGCCACTGCATTTTCCACATGGACTCAAGAAAGGGCAGGCTGTCTCCTTGCTCCTTTATTCCAGCAACAGTTAATTAAATTGTGATGCCATTATGCCAACTACTGGAAGGTACATTACAATCTTTCTTAGCCAAGATGCATGAGAAATATTAGGAGACCTCAGAGATGTTATTGGTTCATATGTTGGATAAGAAAGGAATTACTTATTTAGTTACTGAAATAATTTTTCCAGAGATGAAGGGTATGTTTTAAATTTCCCTACCAAGGAAAAGTGTAAGGAAGATGGACCCTGTAGGGTAGTTACTGGTGAGTGTTCATAGGCTCCTGAAAATTCACCTGACTTTAAAAAAAAAAATTGTTTCTTGAGACATGGTTTCTCTGTTTAGCTTTGGAGCCTAACCTGGCACTCCCTCTGTGAACCAGAGATTCACCTGTCTCTGCCTCCTGAGTGCTGGGATTAAAGGTGTCCACCACCAACGCCTGGCTTCACCTGATTTTTGTGTGACATTTGACCCTGTTGCCTTGACACATGATAGCAGGAAGGCTGAGAGTTCACATTAGGATCCCACTCTCTAGAGTAGCACTCACTGCATCTTAGGAGCCATAGTGGTTGGAGCAGGGGAGCCACATGCTGGAAAGGGATACAGATGGGCCCTGTAAAGAAAGGGGTAGGAAGAAACTACAAAATTTACTCCTCTCTTACCTGCTTGTTTCTGAGCAGCTGGGCATGGCAGCCTCTGAAAACACCGTTGTGTGGGAGATGGTTTCCTTGCTTTAGCTGAATGTCCTTTTTTTGCCTTTGTCACCTAAGTAGCTGGACCTCTTCTAAGTGCCAGTGGTTGTCTCCTGTCCCCATCTGGCTTTATAAAATAAGCTTCACACACTGCAGTGAGGACCACCAGATTCTCAGTGTCATCAGCCCTTCTCGATTTTTCTCAGCTCATTGGTGAGGTTCTTATTGTTGTACCTTTTCCTTGGCTTGAGAACTTTGTATAAGTAATTTGATTGTCCAAATTAACAGAAATGAGTAGTTTTTGCATAGGATAATACAAAAGACATCCAGTAGCTGTGGAAATTGATTACCTCCTGATAATCCACTGGCATCCTTGTTCCTGGAGGTACAGGCAGGCCAGGGTTGAGAACAGTTTCCAGCAAATGCCTGTGTGATCTTCACAGCCCTTTGCAACCAGACCTGCTACCCCCAGAAATTATCCTCCCCATTGTTATAGTTTCTGATAGCCATTGGGGAGCCCTTGACTGATTTGTGGCACGAAGACTTGGGCCAGCCTCATGACAGTGCGTTTGCATGGGTTTCTTTTATCTTCTATGCTTGTTGGTGATAGTCCAGTGCATCAGCAGGCTGTCATGTCCATGCCATTCACCATGCTACCACTTTTTTTTCCTGGAGTCTCATTTGTAGTCCCATGGCTTCTCCAGGGAGGCTGCAGAGCACCCTCCATATAGCTGTCTGCCTTAGTGTGAAAGGTTGATGCCTGACCTCTTGGAGGAGGATGTCTTCACCAGCCATCCAGTGGCCTCTAGATCCAGCCATTCTTGACATCAGTTACTGAATGTAGCCCAGGCCCAGCTGGCCTATGAGAAGCGGACTACCCAACCCTGTCTGCTGTCATTCCTTGCAGATGTACTTAATTTTATTCCATGACATGGGCATCTGTTCTCTCAAGATGTATATATTTTCTTACTGTACATAAAGACATTCCTTAAGTCATACAGAAAGTGTTGTGACAAGGGGACTTGGGCACCTTGTTGTGAATGCCATTGTGGAATCCTCTGTGTTCACAGCCCAGCTCTTAACTTTCTTGTTTGACATAAATCTGTGGGCATGCATGAAGTTCTCAAACAAGACTCCATGCCAGCCAAGCACTGACTGATCTCCAAACAGGGTTTTCATAGCCTGTTTGTGTGAGCCTGATGTTCCCTCTTTAGAAGCTGTATAGTTCCAAGTTCCTCTACTCTGAGGGCATCTCATAATCCTCCCTGTTTGGGCAAACTGGAACAGAGTCTGCACCTTCCACCTCACTTGCCATGACTTTCAGTCCCAAACTTGAGGGTGCTGGGCAGCTCTCACTCCAGAGGGAGCTTGCAGGAGAGGCTTCCTGTCACCTTGGGAGCAGTGCTCACTTCAAAGGTACTTCTAACTGTTCAGTTTGTGACTATTTTTAAACAGTTTGCCAATAGGAAACTCCTGATAACACTTGCTACATATCATGTTTTAATTGCTTGTACAGTTAACCTTTATTTAGTAAAGTGTATCAAACTAGGGCTTTTTGAATTGTAAATATGTGGTTTTATTAAAATAAAGTCATGTAAAATTGTTACTTATGTTCATTGTGTCCTTTGGTTTAAAGCTGACATTCTTGCTTTGAAGTGCAGCAGAGAGTATTTTAACTCAGGACTTGGGAGACACAAAGCAGAGCAGTTACTTTCCTCAGGGGATTCCAGAGTTCAGATGTCCTCTTCAAGTTGCTGGGGCTCCCAGCTGTGCTGCACTCCCTGAAGCCTGTTGCCTTGACCTTCCCCACCATAAGTCTGCAATCCCATGAGAGCCGACAACCACATTTGTTTACTCTGTGCTAGCTGCTGAACCAAGGCTCTTCACACTCTGGAGCTTTCCTAGAACCTGTAAACCTGGGGGTACAAGGGGTGAGCCCCTTCCTGTGAGCCACTTAGGAAAGTGGCTGTGTATGTAGTGGGCTTCACAAGCTACTTGGAGCCAGACGAGACAAATGCTTGTATATGTCACTCTCCTTTCAGTTCCCGCTGCTGTAACCTCCAAACTGCCCAAGACTGCTAGGAGATAGATTGCCCAATGTGTTACAGTCTCCATCAGGGACAGACACAGGACTTGCCTTCCCCTCTAAACCAATGACTTCATTCTCTGAGCCACTGTTCTTTGCAGGCAGTAAAGTGAGGTGATAGACTCTGGGGTTGCTGAGGGCTGGCTGCCTGCTCCAGCCACACCAGGCTATGGACCAAGTGTTCTACATGGATTATTAATCTCCACGGCAGCCCCATGTAAGAGACTGGGTGTTTCCATTCCAAGAATATGATACAAAATGCTTGCTCCAGCTCCTGCAGCAGATTCAGAGCTGGTAACCATACCACCTCTGAGAAAAGTGCTGGCTCCTGCGTGCCTTTTGGAGAAATGCTTGCTTTGGACCTTTTGGAACCCAAACACAGGGCTGGTTGTGGCCTAGATTTCTCATTCCTTTCAATACTTCCAGCGTGCATTGCTGGATGCCTTCAATGTGGGCCAGCAGTTAAGAAACCCTGCCCATCATGAGCTGTCTGAAGAGTGGGGGAACTGTTGAGCTCACATCTAGCAGGAGGAAAGTGACATTGCTGAACCTTGAGCAAAGCTTTCAGGTGGACAGAGCACGGGCCTGCCCAGCAGAGGGCAGCCTTAGACCCTAAGACCAGCTCTTAAATGGGACCTCATCAAGACCTGCAAATGCTTGAACTTGAATGGAAATGAGTAGATATGCTTTGTGTGGAACTAAATATGCTATGAAATATTTGATGTTATTCAGGCTTGCTGAATAACACGGGCCATGGCCATGATGTAGTGTGTATGTATCTCTTCTGTCAGCACTGCCGGCAGTGCCCACTGCTAGCTCATTCTGGATGATGTACTGCTCTCCTTAAATCAGCCAACAAAGCCCCCCTTCCCCCAGGATTCCTACATAGTTTTGTGTGGCATGAGGGAACCACTTCTCCAAATAGCTTCTTGACTCTGTTCTAGAGTTCCAGTAGATCTACTACTAACCAGAAATAAACCCAGATGGCAGATAGCTTGGCTAGAGGGCAAGAGCAGGACCCTGGAGTTGAATCTCAATCGGTGATCTTGGAGAATTCACTGAAATTCTCCAAACCTTTTTTTCTCCCCTTGTAACTAAAGGTTGTGGGTCTTAGCTCCTTTCCATAGGCTTATGGAGTATTAATAAGAGACAGAACTGCCCTTTTACCCGTGAACATTCTCCAGGCAGTTAGATTTGTACCTTTAGCCTATAAACTTTTAGTACCTGTGTGAGAGAGTGAGAGGAGAGAGAAAGGGAGAGAAAAATGTGGTCTCATTTTGTAGCTGATGATGCTGGAATTATAGGTATGTACCAAGCCCTGCTTAAACTGGTACGTGGCTGTACATTTTTCAGTTTAGTGCTGGGGAACCAACTCAAGGCCTTGCTCATGCTAGACTAACACTCTATCCCTGATGTACATCTTCAGGACTTTTATTATCTTCTGCTTGTGAATTTATGGGTTTAAAAATATTTCCTTGAATATTTGTATGTTATTTGCTATTTATATATTATAAATATCATGAAAAAATATGAGATAAGGATTTGAAGAAGCACAAAGGGAAGATTCCTCTTAATTTTATCATCCAAAGGAAGTCATTCTTCTTTTTTTCAAATGTTTCTACATTTTGTGAATCAGTACAGTGTGTCTCAGACAGGTGTCCATTCAGGTCAGCAGGATCACAGTTTGGGCATTACCATATCTTTTAGGTATACTTATATTCCTCCTTGACAGTATTTGGACAAAATGTTAAAGTTGACATTGGTAATAGTAGTATTTTGGGAAGATCAGTTGGCCTATATAGTGAGACCTTATCTAAAGTTTTTTTTTAATTAGGGAGTGTAATTTTATTGAGCTGGGGTGGTGGTGGTGGTGCATGCCCTTAATCCCACCACTTGGAAGGCAGAGGCAGAGGCAGACACAGACAGATCTCTGGGTTTGAGGTCAACCTGGTCTATAGAGCTAGTTCCAGAACAGCCAGGCTACACAGGGAAACCCTGTCTTAAAAAAAACAAACCAAATATTTTATTAAAATATGCACATACTTGTCATTGAGTATTTAAGTAAAAATAAGGATATTTTGAAGGGAGTTGAATTGGTCACTGCACAGCTCATGTGCTCTAAGGTGCTTTCCTTCCATAGTGTCTGTGTCACTTGCACTCTGGAACTTTCTGAGGTTAAATACATGAGCAGTACTTAGCTGGAAGGCATTGACTCTGCTACTTTATGGACAGAAAGCTCATACCAGTGTCAAAATCCTAAACTATTATCTGCAGATGAACGTACACAGGCCTATTTCTACTCACATAATTTAGTAACCTTAGTTGTAGCAAGTCCAGTACTTTAGGCTGTCTCTGAGTGGGTGGCTGTGTTACAGACCCTCCTTTGCTATTGAAAGGGACACTTCTCATGCATATCAACTTAAACTATCAGGCAGAATGTGTTCAGTGCTTACATTTTTTACAGGCCCTTAACTACTTGATGAAATTTCATGATCAAGCACTCATCATGAATCTAATTAGAACCACATGGGGAGGTAATCAAAAATGAAGGGTGTCTTGTAATTAGTTGTAGTCCCTCCAGCACATGAGGTGTTGTGATTGAGGACCTACTGGTGACTTACTATATAATAGGATACATTTGCAGCTTAGGGCATGCTAACCTTAGTGCCCTGCATGACCCACTGCTTACCTTGTTCAAGGTTCATGAGGGAGCATTCAGTTCGTTAGCTGATGGGGAGAAATCAGCTGAATGAATCAAAACCCTGAAGGACACCATTACAATGAAAACCATTCTTGTCACTTCCAGTACCACTGCAAGTTTCACTTGGGAGCATCCCCAACTATGGAACCCTTGGTCCCTCTGCTGTTGGAGCCACAAAGATGACATTGACATTTCCAGTTGCAGCAATTTACTGCTTCATTATGGTCTTGATAGACAGGGTAGAGGGAAAACCAAAACTGTAGCAACCAAGAGGTGGAGGTAGATGGGAGAAATCAGTTTTTGAGCCATCCTTAGTAATGCATTTGAATGGTCTTAGGTAAAAAGCCATGGAAGTCACAAAAGGGATTTTAACGTTCATTGACTTCAAAGCCAATATATTTTAGTAAACAAAACTGTGTCATCTAAAGGAAGCAGGGTTATGAAGTGCCAACAGCCATATCACTGATGCAGGTTATGGCTCAGAAGGCAAGAGTGTTTGTTTGAAAGCATGAGGATCTGAATTCAAATCCCCAGCACCCACATAAAAAAGCCAGGCTTGGCCTTGCATGCCTATAACCCCAGTGTTTGGCAACAGAGATAGGCAGATCCTAAGATCATCATGCTAGCTGGGCAGTCTAACCCAAACTGCAAGCTTCTGTCTCAAAAACATCAAGGTGAAGAGCAAGAGATGCTGGTATGTTCCTCTGGTCACCACATGCCCACACACACCCACAAACAGAGATGAAGAGAACTTGGAAGCTAACTGAGACAGTGATTCAAGACTATACAGTTTAATCAGTACAAAGGTGATCAGGGATTTTTCTGTACCTTAGCTACTGGTTAAACCTTTAAACCATCCTTACATATAGACAAGGAACAGTTTTAACACTCTTCTAGACTATGGGACTGCTTGACTAGGAAGGCTGTTCATCATTAGTTGGTTTAAAACTCCCCCTCTCGATATATTTTACTTAACCTCATGTAGAACTACTAACTGATGCTCTCAGGAGGAATTTGGAAGCTGGAAATGACAAAAATAAAGTTGCATCCCAAGTCACATAGAATGACAGTGGGAGGGCAGAAGAGAGTGGGGTGTAAAGTTCCTAGAGTTTTGGAGGTTTTGTCAAATGTCCTGTCAAGGAATGTCAAGAGGGGAGGAACGTTTTGGCTTCCCTGATCTTTTGCTTCACCCCTTTGCAGGACAAAGTGAGCCCTGCGTGATGGCGCTTCAGGGATTCCAGACGCTGGTTAAGAAATTCTGTCTTATCCACCTTTTCTTCTAGGTCTCGGAGGAGTGATTCCTTACCCAGAAGCCCACATTTCTGATTCAGTTTGATGTTGTCAATTCGAAAGCTGTCTCGGGCTTGCTTTGTCTTTGTCAATAGGTCTCTTCCCAGGGCCACCTGGGCCTCGATTTCCAAAAGTTGTGCCTTTTTGCATGAGTTCTCCATGTCTATGAAAGACAGCTTTTCCTTCACGTGGGTTATAATCTGCACGTTGCTGGTCACCTTAGTGCGCAGTTTTAGAAGTTCCTCATTTCTTTCTTCGACTTTCTCGTTGAAGGTCTGGTTTTCAATTTTGAGCTGTTCAAAGTCGATGAGGAGCAGCCCCTCAGCCAAGTCCTCCTGGGCCTTCATCCTGGTTTCAAAGTGTACCAGGCTCTGCTTCAGCTGCACGTTCTCGAGACGCAACACGCTCATCTCCTTCTCCTTTTTATCCTCCAGCGCCTGGATCTGTTCCACCTCCCTCAGAGCTGCTTGGCGCCCACCGCGCATGCGGCAGCTGCCCATTACCTGCATCACCACCTGCTTCTTGAGGGCCTGGAAGCGACGCCACTCTTTCTCCACCCTGGCCTGCTTCTCCTGGCACTGATGCTTCATCTCACGCACCTCCTCGCGGTACCACTCTAGGTCGTCCGCCTCCTGTTTTTTCAGCTCCTCCAGCATGGCCAGATAACGCAAGTATGCTTGCTCTTTCTCGGGAGAATCCTTTTCCGCACTCTTGTCCGCAGGTTCAGCTGCTTCCAGGCCCTTCTTGCGTAACGTCTCGGAGATCTTCTGCTGTAGGTACACATTGTAGCGCTGGTACCGGTTCCGCTCCACCAGCAGTGTGTGGTACTGGTCCACTAGCTCACCGCGCAGCTGCTGTTCTTGCAGCTTCCGAACATCTGCAGACCACTCAAAGTCCTCGAGGTCTTCCTTCTCTTGCTCTTCCTCCTCTGCAGGGTGAAGATGCTCTTCTGTGCTTTTCTTGCGTCCTTCACCTGTCACCTCGATCTCCTCGCTACCTCGCTTCTTCTCTGACTCCTTCTCTGACTCCTTCTCCTCCTCTTTCTCTTTCTCAGTCGCTGGGGCTGGAGCAGCTGCCTCCTCGTCGATCGTGGTCAGCGGCAGTAGGGGCCGGAACCGGGACTCCTTGCTCTTCACCCTCTTCACCTTGTCCTTCTTCTCCGGCCGGTCGGGTTCCTTGTCTTCGTCTTCATCGTCGTCTTCGTCCTCGTCCTCGTCCTCGTCCTCCTCCAGCTCCTGGAACTCCCGCTCGGTCTCGGGATGCGGCTCTGGCAGACTCTCAGGCTCCCGGGACTCGAGCTCGCTCGCGGCCTCTGCTGTCTCGCCCTCAGTCTTAGCGGCCTCCAGACTTTCCTGGACCTCGACATGCGCGTAATCACTCCCCTCCGAAGCCTCTGCTTTGGGGTCGTCCTCCACCGGTTGGGTCTCCGCCTCAGGCTCTGGCGGCTCTGACTCCGACTCCTGCTCCGGCTCTGCCTCCGCAGGCTCGGCCTGGGTCTGAGGTTCGGAGACGACCTTGCTCTCGGACGACTGCCTGGTCAGGGCTTCTTCAGCTCCTTCTTCTTCGCCCTCGGTATCCTCGGTTTCCTCGTAGTGGCTGTCCATGCTCGACCCGCAGTCTCAGGTCTGAGGACCGCTGCAGCCTGCTGTTAGGTTTCCCGGGGCAACCAGGGCGCGCGCGGTGGGTCCCGCGATTGGTCGCCCGCATTCCTTTCCTCGCCGCCTCCCAGAAATATTAAGCCAATGAAGGGCAACGAACAGGTGGATGTAGGCGCTGATTGGACGCTGGCTCTTGAGAGGTGTGGCGCACACGATCGACTTCCGGTCTCCGCCTTGCCGGCTGTCAGGCTTGGGGCGGGGCCTTGCGGCTGCGCGAGCCCATGAGGCCGAGGGAGGCAGCGGCGCGCAGGCGCAGAGCGCAGGCTTGGCCGTCCGCAAGAGGGCGCGCGCGGGGCGCCTGCGCGATGCGGCGGGGAGACGGCGGCGGCGGCGGCGGCGGCGGCCGGGCCGGGCCGGAGGGCGCCTGCGTGCTGAGGCGGGACGCAGCCCGCCTGGCGGGCTCCGGCGGCGCCTGGGCGGGGGCGGCCGTGGCAGCGGCCGGCAGCAGCGCGGGCGCGGCGGGCGCGGTGGGCCCGGCAGGCGGCGGGTCGCTGACGACCGGGGGCGCGGCGGCTGCGGGCCGGGCGGCGGGCGAGCGGGGGAAGATGGCGGAGCTGGGCAAGAAGTACTGCGTGTACTGCCTGGCCGAGGTGAGCCCGCTGCGCTTCCGCTGCACAGAGTGCCAGGACATCGAGCTGTGCCCCGAGTGCTTCTCGGCTGGCGCGGAGATCGGCCACCACCGCCGCTACCACGGTTACCAACTGGTGGACGGTGGACGATTCACTCTCTGGGGGCCTGAGGCGGAGGGCGGCTGGACCAGCCGTGAGGAGCAGCTGCTGTTGGACGCCATCGAGCAGTTCGGCTTCGGCAACTGGGTGAGCGGCGGGCCCTGACTAGGAGGAGGGCATGGCTGACTGGCTTGGTGCACACTGCGGAGGGCCGCAGGTGGCCGGGCGGGATCGTCCAGAGAATGCTGGGCGCCACACAGCTGGCAGAGCAGAGCCTTGACCCGTGGCCCCGACAGTGAGCTGTCTGCCCTTCACACTCGTCCTCAGAATGTGTGCATTGAACGCGGGCGGTGGGCAGGCCCTGTGTCTTGCCAAGCTTCTCCTCGAGCCAGATGGCAGCAAGCGAGACCCTACTGTCCCTTCTGAGTTCCCTGGTAGGGTTGGGTTCTCCTGGGCACAGTGATGAGGAAGGCTAGAAGCCTGGGCTACCCATCCCGCATGCACTTAGTCTGCTTCTTGTGCTTTCTGTGGGTGTCAACATGTGCCCTGTGCTAGGGTTCTCCGTGGGTATCAGTGCCTTGTTTAGTTCTTGTTCTCCACAGCACCCAGAACATAGTGTGATAGGTGGTCAGTAAAGAATGAACAAAGGCGTCTCCGTGAGGAGGCATGTCGCAAGGGGTCTGCTTTCTAGCTGTCAGGTTTCGGTAGAGGTGGTTTGCTGGTGGCAAGAGTGTTGGTGTGCCAGCCAGATAGTGTGCTGGGCTCCTGGTTGTTCTCTAGGGATCTCTAAGGAGCTCTCTTATTATTCCTCACCTATATTAGGGAAGAGCTGCATTGTCACCGTTACTACCAGGCACATGTAGTGTCTTAAGCTTTCAGAGAAAAGGGAGCTAAGTATGGCCTGTCCTGTCCAGACTCTTTCCCAGTGTGGCTGGGTCCTGCTTCTCTAATCTTCCCTACTCTAGCCAGACTGCCTTACTATTCCAGGTCATCATACAGTGATTGACCCTTTGGACCCACCTTTCCCCACCTAGGAAAGAGTCTACTCTACAGATTCTTTCCTGATGGCCAACACCTTGACTCCTGCTCTCCAAGAACATCTGGTTGCTTTGTCTATAAGTGGTGTTTTTTGGTGTATATTGAGCATTTGCTTTGTACAGATCAGGCAGCATGAAGCACCCTGAAGAAGAGCCTCAGAGCTGAAGATGTTGCATTTGTTTCCTCTGTTCCTAGAGCTTGTCTGTTACCTGATGACATCCATCCCTTTCTATCTCATTGCCCATGGTGATCCAGTCTCACTTCATCCTCAGCTACAGAGTCAACTTAAAACCTTCATCTACTCCCAGTTGGTCAGTTGTCATCTATTTTTTAAAAATGTGCAGAATGTAACTGCTAATTCTGGTCTGAACCATGCTGGCATTTACCTCTTACTGTTTTAGCTTCTCATGGTTTACCTGCTTTCTCCTTGTGTTCTATAGCCCTTCTTACACACCAGCACAGGGCTTTTAAAACATAAGCTGCATCTCTTTGGCCCTCAGCAACTTCCAGTTCTACTTAGATTACACTGTAATGCCTACAAGGCCTGACAACATCTCTGGTTCCCTGTGATCTCATGCTTACTCCCTTGATCAGTTTCCTTTCTTCTGCCTACAATGCCTTCACCCTAGTCAAGACTACCAACCGATCTTTGTCCTTATGTGTCATTGCTTCAGAGAGACACTTCTTCCTCATATCATTCCTCCAGGACTATCTCTAGAGTAGTCACTGAAAAGAGTGAGAGTGTTAGTTCTGGGGAGCCCAGCGCTGCTCTTGTTTTATCTCCTGAAACTTGGGCCATACTTAGGGAACCATGTGGAAGAGGAGGCAGAAAGAGTGTAAGAGTCAGAAGGGAAAGGACACAAGGAGAACAAGGCCTTCGGAATCGAGTGAGCACAGCAAGCACAGGGCCAACGTGAGTCTCTGCGTTTATATTACAGCTTTCAGTTTAGTATGTTTATGGGACTCATGAGTGTGTGAGTGAGTGGGTTGCTGATTCTTGTCACTTCTCTTGGGGCTCTTCTTCATTGGTTTGACTTGTCCAACTTCAATGTGATAGTTTTATTCTATCATATCATATTTTATTTTGTTAAAGAAAAGAAAGGGCTTGGGCTGTAGTGTTTGTGCTGCATTGGTGCAACACAGTCAGAATCACATAGCAGCCAGGAACAAAAGCATATAAAATGTGGATGAATAAACAGGCTGGATGGGAAGGCCTCTTCTGAAGCAGCACTTTCAGGCTTTAAGGCCAGAGGAACTTGAATTAAGATGCAGGTTCTCATGAGGTCCAGGCTCAGCTTTGGAAGAAGTAAAACCCAAGAGGAAGCATCTTGGGGCTTGGCTGCCTGTGTGTAGATAATGGATTGCTACTTGCTGAAGCAGTAGGAGTCTCAGGGGCTAGTCTGAGAGATGCACACAGTGACCCTGCTACCTGTGACCCCACTACCTGTGCTCTCTTAGACTGGTTGCTTTGTTCCTTCAGAGGCACCACAGCTTAGATATATGGTTCTGTTCTGAGCTTGCGTGCTATTACACAGAGTATGTCCCAGTTTGGACCTGTGTAGAGCCTGTGCTAGCTCTATGCTGTATCCTTGATGTACGCAAGTCATGTGACTTGCACAAGCTACACTGTGAGGGTGAATTTATGTTCTTAGTTTGCAGTTGAAAGACTGCAACCGTGAGAATCTAAGATGCTTGCCAAAAATTCTATAGCTTTGGCCATGATGGCTGGTGTGATTATAATCTGGGCCTCCACTACAACACTAAAAGCCTTAAGTAATGTAGTTAGAGACCAAGCTTACTGGTACAGTTGGTGGTGTGGTATTATCAGAAAGCTTTACACAAGCTCTAGTTGGGATCTGTACCACAGAGAAAGAAGTCCCAGAAAGGATGATACCATAGTAGGGAGGTTGACTGAGGAAAGAGGTGGGCGTCAGCAACACACACGGGTCAGGCCTGCCAGGGTGCTCAGAGCCTCCAGACAGCTGCTGCACTTGGTGGGCTCTGCTGGTTGAATGATGCAGGACCTCTGGAACGTGTGAACACAAACATGTGGGCATGCAGAAGTTCAGAATGACTAGAGCCTTTGGTAGATGAGCCATCAATTTTGTCACCCAGCTCTGAAGACATTAAACTGTCATAGAGGAGGCAGTTTGAGATGACTAGCCCTCCACAGGGTTATCCAGCAGAGGGAAGTAGGGTTCAGGCCAGCCTACACGGTTTTGAATGTAGTAAGAGGAACCAGTGGAGAGGGTTCTTGTGCCTAGGGGCAGGTGGAGTAGCCTGGGTAGTACATCTTCTGTCTTTAGATGACAATTGACATCCACAGGTGAACCATGCCCTGTGTGCAGATTGCCATAGCGTGCATTCATTCCTCTGTCCACTGGCATGTGTTTAACAATCTGGTATGTGCTAGCCCCTGTGGAGATGTTGCTGGGACAGCTGGGACAGCTGGGACCTTGCAGTGTGGGTGAGTAGAACTCCATGTCCAGTGGTGAGAAGGACAAGAAAAGTCTGCGTGGGTGGGAAAGTAGCATGGAGGAAGGAGGTATTTTGTGTTCTTCGAGTTGGTTATATTTGTGAGCTAGGCAGAAGCTGGCTTGTCCCAGGTGAAAGACAGAAGAGGAGGATTCTTCCTGTGGGGTGGTCAATGAATGCATATTAGCTTGCATATAGTCATGATTGGAAAAAACCTTAAGCCCCAGCCAGTGTGTGATTGGGGTGTTAAAATTCCCACTCCTTTGTGCCAGGTGACAGACAGGGCTGTCATGGAGTATTAAGGCTGATGCTCATTCCCTGGTTCAAGACATCAAGACAGGCATGTTGAATTGGTCTCTCATTCTTATGATTGTTTCAAACTCTGTGGCAGATGTCTCCCACTTACTGATGAAAAGCAAGTGTTCTGAAGGATGAGCCCAGCTAGAATCTGGGCCCAGGTCTTTGTGGTTCATGTCTCATTGGGTCACTGACAACATAGCACAGGCCTCCTGGTGCCAAGTACCAGCCCAGACACTGACTTGTCATCTGTCGAATCTCAGGGACTCCCAGGCTATAAAACCATCACCTTTTCACTAGGTGTCTTAGGGTTTTTATTGCTGTGAAGAGACACCATGACCATGTCAACTCTTATAAAGGAAAAACATTTAATTGGAGTGGCTTATGTTTTCAGAGGGTTAGTCCAGTATCATCATGGTGGGAATGTTGATGTGCAGGCAGACATGGTGCTGGCTACATCTTGATCAGAAGGCAACAGGAAGTGGACTGAACCACTGGGAGTGACTTGAACATATATGACACTTCAAAACCAACCTCCACAGTGATACATTCCCTCCAACAAGGCCATACCT